GTGAGAGTCTGGCCAGGACTGGAGGCTCCAGTGCACAGCAGCGCCCTGTCCCCACGGGGCACATCAGGAAGAGGCTTCTCTGTCCCTTGGGTCCATTCATATTTGCTGAGTTACACTAACTGACTGGAGCTTTGGGGGGGTCACAGAATTTTTTGTGTTTTTTTCCTCCAAAACATTAAAATCGGGCTGGAGAGGTAAGATGCTTATGGAAGCTAAAAGGACAGTTGGATTCCAAATGAGTAGTTATAGCCTGAAGGTACCATGTTGTTCAGAAAACAGAGACATTTGGGAGGGGAAGACCAGCTAAGGAGGGTAACCGTGGAAACGGGAGCTCAGAGGGGAAATCGAGGCATGCACTGAGCGGGAAGACCAGTCCCACTGCCCAGACGTGGCCAATTAGCAAATCCACACACGGACATATTGCACCGCCTTCGACGTTTGGCTGCATAATGTTAAATGGCCTTATTTTATTTTATTGTATATATTAGCATAGAGTAACGTTGGCCGCTCACGTATGCAATTCTGTGAATTTTAACACGTGTATGGTTCCCTGTAGCTGCCACCACAATAAGAATACCCCCCCAAACCCTCCCTTTTGCTTTCATTGGTAGTCACACCACACCCTCCCCTCTCCCCATTCCTACCCCTGGCAAACACCACTTTGGCCACCTCACTATGGTCTAATCTTTTGAAGAACGTCCCATAAATGAGATAGCACCATAGGAAATCTTTTTAGAATGCCTTCTTTCACTCAGTACAATGCCTTGGAGACGCCTCCGAGTGGTTGCATGTAGCAAAAGTGTGCTCCTTTTCATTGCTGAGTAGTATTCCACTGCCCGGATGCACCATGGTCTGTTCTTACCTCCACTCATGGACAAATGTCAGGGCTGTCTGCAGATTTAATGATTATGAGTTGAGCTGCTCTGAACATTTATGTACAGGTTTTCTGTTTTTGTTATTGTATGATGATGTCTTCCTTTGAGACTTAAATTACTTTTTCTCAAAAACTTGGTGACCAACATATTCATTATAAAACCCACTTCTCAAAATGCTTGATTTTTCTTTTGTCATGAGCAGCAGGAATTAGGGTTGCTAGGTCATTTGGGTAACTTCATAAGGAACTGCCAAATTGCTTTACAGGGTGACCACACCATTTTGCATCCCCACCAGCAAGGCCTGAGCATTCCAGTTGTTCCACGTCCTTGTAAACACTTAGTATTGTCGATGTTTTTTACTTAAGCCTTTCTAATAGGTGTGCAGTGGTATCTCCTCATGATTTTTACTTTCACCCTTCTAATGACAAATGATGTTAAGCATCTGTCCATGTGCTTATTTGCCTTTTGCCATCTTCTTTGATTAAGTGCTTAGTCAAGTGTTGTGTCCCTTTTTTTAACGACATTGGTTTTTTTTACCATTAAATTTGAGAGTGCTTCACATATTTTGGTTTTAAGTCCTTTTTCATAATATTTTATCTTGTTCTGTAGCTTGTCTATTTACTCTCTTAATAGTGTCTTTTGCAAAACACGGTTTAAATTTTGATCAAGTGCAATTTACCAATTTTTTTTTATGGGTCATGTTTTTGGTGTCAGGTCTGAGAACTTGAAGCCTACACTCAGGCATGAAGATTTTCTCCTATTGTTTGTTTCTAAAATGTTAAAAGTTTTACATTTTAGATACAGATCTATAATCTATTTTGAGTTAATTTTTGTATAAGGTGTGACTTTGGGTTGAGGTCAATATATTTTTTTTAAATATGGACGTCCATTTGTTCCAACACCATCGTTGAAAAAACTGATTATTATTTCTATGTTGAATTAACGTCATTTTTATCAAAAATCAGCCGATCGTGTGTATGTGGGTCTGTCTCTGGACCCGACTGTGTCCCGTGGACCTACTGTGTTCCGTGGACTTACTGTGTTCCGTGGACCTACTGTGTTCCGTGGACCTACATGTCTGCCCTTCCCACACCACCTGCTTGACGACCATAGAAACAGGAAATCTTAAAGTCAAGGGGTAGAATTTCTCTAAAATTTTTTTTACAGTTGTAAGGCTGTTGTGGTGATTTTTTTTTCTTTGCATTTCCTTATGGTTTTAGAATCAGTTTGCATATATCTAAAGAAAGCCTTGCTGGGATTTTGAGGGGAAGGGCATTAAATCTGTAGATCAACTTGGGGAGATGGGACATCTTCACCGCGCTGACTCTTCCTGTCCTTGGCTGGTGTATCTCTCCATGGATAATCTTTGACGTCTTCCACCAGCACATTCTGGTTTTTAGCATAAAGATTCTTTACATGTTTTGTTATGGTGCTATTACATATGGTAGTGTTTTAAATTTTTCTTTTTTTTAACTGTTCCTTGTTAGTATACAGAACTATGATCGACTAAATGCCCTTTAGGGAACAGGCCATTACAACTATGGTATGACAATACAATCACAACTGTGTGACTACATCAACTTGTCTGTGCCCCAAAGTCCTTCAAAGTCTAGGTCAGTGGCTCTTCCAGAGACAACAAAACACCGTGTGATTGCATGAACATCGCTCTGTTTGCCTGCGATCTCTTGGATGTGTTGGACTCTGGATTAGCCATGATCCGAAGGGTGCACATTCAACAGGCGGTTAATGCTTGTCGCACAGCTAGTTCTGTGCTGAGGCTCAGAGACCAATCGCCGTTTCTGACCCTGATGTCACAGCTCCGAGAGCTAAAATGCAACCTGCCAATTTTATGTGTGCCTTAAAAGATTGACTTACTTTTCCCTTAGAAGATTGTTGAGTGGCCCTGGCCAGTTTGGCTCAGCGGTTAGAGCATCGGCCCTCGGACCAGAGAGTCCCAGGTTCAGTTCCCGCTAAGGGCACGTACCTCGGTTGCAGTTTGTCCCCGACCCCAAGGGGGCCATGTGGGTGGCAGCCACTCGATGTGTCTCTCTCTCATCGATGTTTCTCTCTCTTCCTCCCTCTCTCCCTCCCGCTCTATCTGAAGATAAATGCAAAAATGTCCTCGGGTGAGGATTAAAAAAGAAGAAGATTGGTGAGCGATATATTCACTATAGAAATCACAAAAGGAAATCTCTTTTCTTTTAGCGTTCAGAGCAGGCATGCAAACGGACGTGGGAAACAATGTTACTACCCACATACACTTCACTATCTCCCAACGTAAATAAGCGTTGATGATAAGAGAGCTGCACGGCGGAGCCTCCGTTTCTTTAAAAACCTCTCTGTAACGTTGGATGTTATTTTCGTTTAATCACTAAACTCAATTACAGCAGAGCGAGGACGCAGACGCCAAGGGACCGGCGCTGCGTACTGAGCTCTGAGCTGTTTTAATTATTTCAGGCCATTAGGACAGGATCCAATGAATACCCTCACCAGGCAAAGTAGACGTTTAGAGACGTTTGTCTTAAAGTAAGTAACTGAAATAGTTTCCGCGTTCACCCGTTTCGTGGGTTCATTCTCAATTTGGCATCCGCTCCTTCGTCGCAGTCATCACTCCTCCCGCTCGTTGGCGAGTTGAGAGGTGCGGGGTCAAGACAGACACGTGAGGTCACCAGATTACTTAGGTTCTTGCAGCAGCAGGAGAATAACTTGGAATAAGGACCAGCTGTCTCGCCTGCTGCGGACATCATTGTCTTCAAATGCCCTCGCGTCTGCTTCTGCCCACACTGTTGCCCACAGGGGAACCCAGTGCCCCCTTCGTCCTTGGAGCAGGGACTTCAAAGCCGAGGGGGAGGGGAGCCAGCTGGGTCACCAGCCTGAGGGCGGGCGGATGAGCCGTCAGAACAGATCTCAGAGCATGAGAGGGGCTGAGACACGGCCGCAAGGGCACTGCGGGCGGCAAGAAGCCCTGTATGGAGGCCTGAGCCCATGGGCAGTGGCCCCGATTTGCCAGCTGAGTGGCCTGGTCCAGCAAAGAGGGTGGCGGGGCACTGGGGGCAGAAGGGCTCCCTTCAGAAGTGCCCTCCTTCGTGGTCAGCGGGCACTGGGGCCCCAGGACGAGAGGAAGGGGCTGTTTCAGAACCCTCCACTGACCTTGGTGGGGGAAGGGCTGGGAGGGCCCACGTGGACGACCCAGAGCCCTCGGTGTGAAGCCTGGGCTCCCGGGGCTCAGGACAAGGGGGACTTGACAGTTGAAGAGTGAGCAGGGCCCAGAAAGTCACAGGGCAGCCGAGACAGCCAGCCTCGCCGGGGACACTGGGCTGGACCCGGACACCTTGCTCAGGGGCCGGCAAGGTGGCCAGTCCACTCGGAGCTAAGACAGAAGGCAGAGGACACCTGGACATGCTGATGGCCGGGCTCAGAAGGCTCTGCCAACCAGGGCAAAGAGGCCGCATCTGGTGGAGCAGAAGCCATAGGGCCCTGCGGGGGGAGGGGCAGGCAGAGCCCCGGCTCAGGTGCCCTGCTGCTGGGGGGGCGGGTGCAGGACAGGGTGCGGGACAGGTGAGGAAAACCTGTGGCCGTGAGCTGCGCGAGCCGATGAGGAGTGTGGGCGAGTCCCAGGGACAGCAGGGTCTCAGGCCCCAGATGTGACGCGGGACCACAGCTGGAGAGGGGCGTGAGCAGGAAGGATGGCAGAGTGCGGGCGTACCTGTCTGTCGGCTGACCGGGCGCCCTCAGTGCTGCTGCGGCCTGAGTGGCCGATTCCCGCGACGCCCCTCAGGGGCCGTCTCTGCTGTGCTCGGGTCGTGTGTGCTTCCTGAGCACGGCCCCTTGTCCACACCAGGACTCGGGGGGTGACATGCTGCCCTCCGTGCTCTGCCCACCCAGTCCCGTCTTGGAGGGCATCACCCTCCCGTGGCCTTCATGGCCCCTCGCCCTCGCTTAGGTGACTTCAGGACCCGGTGTGGACTCAGCGGAGGGAAAAGCTCCCAGCTCAGTGAGTCTCAGGCACCTCTGGGGGGGGGGGGGCTCAGCAGCGCCCCACGCTGGGATCCGGGCACCGAGGACCAGAGGAGCCCGGGGTGGAACGGGGGTGTGCCCGCGCGAGCTCCCACGCCTGTCTTTCAGGACGCGCACCACGCCGCCAGGACCACCCACTACGGCTCCTTGCCCCAGAAGTCGCAGCACGGCCGGCCCCAGGATGAGAACCCCGTCATCCACTTCTTCAAAAACCTTGTGAGTGCCCTTCATGCGGGCAGACCTGGGGGGCACTGTGCCAGTCCACGAGGGGGCGAGTATTCCCAGGCGGCTGCCTCCGACCCAGGAGGAACGTGAGCCCTTCCCCAGAGGACCCCGTCCTCCCCGCTGGGGTGGCCCGAAGGAGCCCCCGCCGCAGCGCCTACGTACTGAGCGTAGTGCTGTCCCGGAGAGCTCACCCCTCTGAAACGAAACCACTTCGAGGGCTTAGTGTAAAAACGCAGGCTTTGCCCTGGCCGGTTTGGCTCAGCGGTTAGAGCGTCGGCCTGCGGTCCAGAGAGACCCGGGTTCGGTTCCCGCTAAGGGCACGTACCTCGGTTGCAGTTTGTCCCCGGCCCTGGTTGGTCGTGCGGGTGGCAGCCACTCGATGTGTCCCTTTCACGTCGATGTTTCTCTCTCTCTCTCTCTTCCTCTCTCTCCCTCCCACTCTGTCTGTACAAAAAATGGAAAAGTATCCTTGGGTGAGGATAAAAAATAAATAAAAACGCAGGCTTTGGGAGATTGGGGACAGTGAACAGACCGGTGTCTGCCAGGGCACAAGGAGCAGAGGCCCAGGGATTTTTCAGGGCAGGGAAACTGCTCTGTGACGCGACGGTGGACACAGCTCGCACCTCTGCCCGTGTCCTCAGAATGTGCGGCAGGGTGGACCCCACCGAGCTGCAGGCTTCAGTGACCAATCAGCATGATGCCGGGGCCCCGGCTAGAACAGAGGAGCCCGCTCATGCAAGGCGGGGACAGGGACACCGGGCGGGTCCGTGGGAAGTCTGTAACTTCTGTGCCTTTTCTTCTAGAAACCTAAAACTGCTCCAGGAAAAACAGTCTTAAAAACAACAGCGACGCCACCACCCTGCGGTGGCACAGTCGCTGTGCAGATGCACTTTAAAATGATGCTTCCCACGCTCGGGGAGAGTTTTCGGAGCCACGGGCCTGGTGCCGGGCCTCTGGCCCCTCTAAAAACCAGGGGACGCCGGCGTCCGCCCAGAAAGGGGGGTGGTGGGGTCGCAGCCTTCGTCAATGTGCACAGGGCCAGGCGAGCTGGTCCCGGGGGCAGAGGAGCCTTTGGCTGGATTTCGGTTCTCTCAAACACCCCAGAGACTCTTGGGGGATCAGAGCAGCACGGAGACTCCCCTGCACCCCTCAGCTCGTACAGAACGGGCGCCGCGCGGAGCGGTGGCCTCCCTGACAGACGCGGTCAGCAGACACGGGCACTCAGGACAGCTCGGGAGTCCCCTGCAGAGGTCAGGGCCGCTCTGCAGAAGGGTCACCGCCGCTCACCACCTCCTGTGTCTTTGCAGGTGACGCCTCGCACACCTCCTCCGTCGCAAGGAAAGGTGAGACCCTGAATGTCGTGATTCGTCATCGCTTTATTTATAGACCGTCCCCGAAATCCCTAAGTGCCCCCCAAAGAGGGCTGGGCTCCCGGCTGCCTGACTTGATTGCAGTTTTGCCGCAGGGGGGCCCCCAGGAGAGAGGCTGAGATGGGGCGCCTCCTCCTCCGCCCGCCGTGCTGACGGCTCACGGATCCCAAACCCTCGCGGAAGCTGCAGGCGGCCGCTGCGGCCCCGGGGACCGGGCACCGGCGTCTCCGCGTAGGCTGCGGGTGGCCAGTCTTTGCTGAGAGCGGCCCCTGCACTGATCTCAAGGTCATTGTCTCTCTCTCTCCTCATCCAGGGGCGCGGACTCTCCCACAGCAGATTCAGCTGGGTAGGTGACCCCCGAGCCCCGCGGCTTCCCCGCTCCCGGGCCTCGCGGCCACTGGCGTCTGTGTTCTGCTCTTTCAGCTGACAGTCGGTCCACCTTCCTCCTGCGCAGCCGGGCCCTGCGTGGTGCCTTCCCCCGGGAGGCCAGCGGCTTCCTCCCACCCGAGGGGGTGCCCAGGGCCAGGGCCCTTCCTCCCAAAGGCTCCCACACACGCACAGGGCTCCCACCAGGTCTGAGAAAGCCCCGATTCCCTCCCACCCCAGCTGGGCTGGGGCTGCCGGACCGGGGACATGACCAGCCCACCCCCAGAGGACACTTTCCGATGGGAACTGATGCTGAGGAGACAGACAGAAAGTGACGTCGGTGACTTAGTTACTTGACGCTGGTCGGTGTGCGCCAGTCAGTCCTCACGGCCGTGCTGACGTCGAGGCGACCAGAAGCCTTCGGGTGGGCTCCTGGACCCCGAGAACGGAGTGTAATGAGACCCTGAAGGTCGTGTTCCTTCTCCTGTCCAATGCGAGTGAAACTAGCCTCTGAACCCACTCAGAACGCCAACCAGGGTCCTGAGCCCGCTCACTGGGCCGTAGCTACTGGTGACTCTTAGGCAGTGTCCTTACTCTATAAAAACTATAATTTTCAGAATAAAAGGGAAGAATAATCACTAACCTATAGGCCAGGAAGCGTGTCTGTGTTGGGAACACAATGCCTTCGTCCCCAGCACAGGGCCAGACACCAGATGCTGGGTTAACAGGCAGTCGTACGAAATCACCAGAGAAACGGCAGAAAGAGGGAGAAAGGATGGAAGGAAGAGGAAGTGGGGGGGAGCGGGAGGGCGGGAGGAGGCAGGCCGGGAAGAGGCTCCGTCAGGCCCCACACACGGGGACACACATCCTGAAGGACGCATTGGCCTCGCCCGCCCTGAGCACCTCGCAGAAGGGTGGCAGCAGTGCAGGGACTTGACCTGGGCGAGCTCACCCACGGTGCCTCCTCCTCTTTCCACGCCAGCCGGAGACAGACCGACCGGACATCGACCCTCCGGCAGTAACTGCGTGACCCCCCTTCCACTTTCCAGGGCAGACGGGCTGGACGCGGCGGTCCCTGCGGGGTGGCGGCTGGGACCCAGCCCTCCTCCCGGCCAGTCCCAGTCGTCCCCAGCGCTGGACCCAGGGGCAGGACGGCCTTCACACGTCCCGCGTCCCTCACCTCCGCGCGTTTGGTTTCTCTCCTTCCCAACCAGAACCCGCCTGCTCTGCCCCGGCCGCCCCCCGACGGTCCGGGGGCGCTCGCCCTGCTCCCTCCCGCTAAACTGCGCCGCGCGCTCTCATGTTCTAGGCCGTCCGGAGACGGGGAGGACCCGGAATCCCAAAGGGGGAAAACTCACTATTCATCCGAAAATCAGTCCTTGCGCTTAGGTCTCGGGAGCTCCGAATTCGGGGCGGAGAGGGAATGGGACAGTGGTCTCCACGCCCCTGCCGGCCTTGGCCCAGGCGTCCCCCCGGGGCCCCGTCCCTCCGTGTGCCGCGCGGACCCTCCGGCACCCACGGGCAGCGCTGGCGTTTCTCTAGTGGGCGGGCTCGGACCTTCACTGCCACACTCCCTGTCCTCGCCCCTCGATAACCCGAGGCCACCACCTCAGACCCGGTGTCCAGCCAGGGGGCCCCGCGGACAGCCCTGTGGCTGAGAGACCTTCACCCCAAACGCTCACAAGCAATGTCCGCTCCGCAGTCCGCCCGTGAGGTCTCCCGGGGGCGTCCCAGGGAACCTACAGCTGTTAGAAATCACAGACATTCTCCTGTCTCTGCGATCGTGTGCCATCACGAGTCCCACAGAGGACGCGTCCACTGTCTCCCTGAAGGGCGTGTGCGCTGCTGGGGCAGTTGGGGCGGGAGGGGGCCCACCCTGTGAGGACAGCAAGTCCCGAGCTTTGTTCCTAGAGCAGGACACCTACTAACTCACGTATCCTCACAGCAGCCCACCGGGGAGGGCACCGTTATTATTCCCACTTTACAGAAGAGGAAACTGAGGCTCAGGGTTCTGGGCTGGGCCCTGGTGTGCGATGCTGGTGGCTCAGCTGCCCTGACCCGCCCCTCCCTCTGTGGCCCCCGTGCAGGAGCCCGGGGCCCAGGTCTGCACCCTCAGGCCCCGGACTCCCACACCATGGCTCCCCGCCTCCCGGCCACTCGGGAGAGCTCCCCGAGGCCAGGGAATGAGACTTGTCCAGGCTGTAGAAAGTGGTGGCCACATATCCCACTTCCTGCCCGGGGTCCCTGGAGGCGGAGCGGATGCAAACGGGTCTGTGCGAACACCCAGAAACAGCCCGACTCGACCTCAGCCTCCTCCTGGAAGCGGCCACCTGTGTCCCCTACTTCCTGCCCCATGGGGGTACAATTCCCCGCCCTGTCCTGCGGCACCTGCTAACCTTCTCTCAGGACCCCGGAGCGCAGCAGGGAGCGGCGGCGGGAAAGGGCCGAGCTCCGCCCTGAAGGCATCTGGGCCGGCCTGGCGACAGCCCGGGGCCAGGCTCCGACCAGGGCTCTGCCCTCTCTTGCAGGGGGCCGAGGGGCAGAAGCCCGGTTTCGGCTATGGGGGCCGCGCTGCCGACTACAGAGCAGGTCACAAGGGCCTCAAGGGCCAGGACGCCCAGAGCACGCTCTCCAGAATCTTCAAGCTGGTAATGTACCTCCCGGTCTGGGACACGCAGGGCGGGTGGGCCTGTACCTTACCCTCCCCGGACACACCGGACAGGGCAGACGTCCGGCCTTCCCACCGCTTTGTATGGGGCCTCTCAGTGAGACGGAGCCAGGCCCCCGGGGCTCGCGGACCAGGTGGGGACGGGGGCACAGCTGGGCTGAGGCTCTGCGTGGGTGCCGACTCTCCCAGGATCCAAGGACCAGGTGAGACCGGAGACCACAGCGGGCGTGTCTGCCGGTTGTGACGCTGGAGTCACGCAGACCCAGGCCCCCGCGCCTTGGCCCCCCGCTGTGTGAAAGGGGTGACATGCAGGGACAGCGCCGCAGCGGTGACCGGTGGCGGGAACGCGTGGCCACGGGCGCCGGCAGGTCACGCACGCGACGGCAGCTGACGTTCCTGCTAAAGGAACAGCAGCCGAGCTTGGTCCCTGAAATCGCAGAATGTCCTCTGATCCGCACAGGCCGGCACGGCCAGGCTCCGGCGCCATGAGCGGGCGACCCCGGTGCCCTCACCAGCCCTAGAGGGGCGGCCGAAGCGGCCGGACCACAGGCCTCTCAGGACCCCTCCCCAGGGAGCCCAGGGGGATGCTTTCTCGAGGGGGGGAGGGGACAGAGACCCTGGGGAGCTGGGGGGGGCCCTGCCTTCCAGGGCTCGTTCCGACTGAGGCCCAGGCTTCACCTGCCAGGAAATACGGCCCCTGGTGCCAAGCCCAGGTCCCCGCACCCCAAGACTGGAAGGTCCCCTGTGCTGGGCTGGGGCCTGCTTCCTTGCAACAGGGGGACCTGCAGGCCTGAGGTCCGAGATGGGGTGGGTGAGGTAAGATAGGAGGGGACACGGGGGGCTGTGTGCCAGGTCTCCAGCCCCCCCTTACCCCCCGGACCTGGGGGTTGGCCATAGCACAGGCCTCACCTTGGGCGGCCCGTCCCTGCCCTGTCTCCGTGTCTGTCCCTCCGGGACACCTCCCCGGCCTGCAGAGGTCACAAGCGTCCCCTGGCGCCGACGGCTCCGTTCCAGGATTCCAGGGAAGGTCGCAGACACGGGCCTGCAAACACCTGAGGGCGGGGGGCTGGACGTAGGGAGTCTTGCGGAAAGGACCACTCAAAGGTCGCAGAAAATGAGCAGATTCAGTGCGATGGGGGAGCAGGCAGGAAGGGGCGGAGGGCGCCGTGGGCCTCTGGTGCCCGAGGTGGTCGCTGCTCCGGGACGGTGGCCAGACAAGGTGGGGCTGAGCAGGTGGCCCTCAACCAGGAGGGAGGAGGTGGCGGCTCCAGGCGGGAGACACAGAACATCTCTGCTTCCGGGAGGGGCGGGCGGCAAGGGGGTGACCAGCGGAGACCGAAGACAGGGGCTCCCCCCACCGAGGGTCTGAGGCCCTCCTGAGGGCTTTGATGGTGACGCTGCGCCGGGCATCCCGGGGACCCCGGGGACCCCAGGGACAGTGACGTGTGTGATGCTTCACTGCTGGAAGGGCCCGTCGGTGGCAGAGACGTCGGCGTGAGGCCTGGGCTGGAGGGTCAGGGACAGACCCGTGGGTTCTGTGGCCACCGGTCCAGGGACGAGGGGACAGAGCCGAGGCTCCCGCACCGCAGACGGCTCAGGGCTCAGAGCTGGAAGGGGGCGCGGGAGGGTCCCCGGGGGCGAAGCGGCAGCGGTCTGCACACTGACCCAGCCCGAGGAGCCCTCGTCCGGCAGAGAGGTGAGGTCTGCACAGAGGTCGCCTGCGTCGCGCTCCCGCCCGCTTTCCAGCGACGCCCACGCCACCTCTCACCTGCTCTCAGCCCAGACGGGGCCCACCTGCCCGCTGGGCACCGGGAGCCGGGCTAGACGCCCTGGTCGACGCTCCTCACAGGTGCCCAGTCAGGCGCTTCCCGCTCACGGAACGCAGTGAGGACAGGTAGGCAGGAGACCGTCCGCCTGCCAGGGCAGGACGATCCGTGGAGCACACACCTGGCTGCCCACAGCGCCGGGTCCGGGGAGCCCGGTAGACGTCCTGTTCGGTCCAGGGACAGGCTAGCATCCCCGCAGGACAGTCCCTGCAGACGGGAGGGCGTGCGTGCGTGCCCCAGGGGCGCCTGTGCTGGCCCCCACAGCCCGAAAGCCGCTCTGTGTCGCTGGCCGGGGTCCAGGGCTCGGACGCGGGGTCCTGGACTCGCACACCTCGTCCTCCAGCCTCCCCGTGGCTCAGGCCACGGCGCGCGCTGGGGAAGGCGTGAGCGTCCATGGACTTCGTGCTCTGGGTGTCCCGTCACTGATGGGGCAGCAGCCTCCCCTTCCCTTGACCCGTTTTCAGAGTTGCCGCCGGGGTCAGAGGCCACGGCACCGAACACATAAAGGTTCTGCTGCCCGAGGCTCGGTCATGTTGCCCCTGAGCTTGGCAGCTGCAGGGCAGGACCCATGTTCCCGGCGACGCCAGGTAATGCCAGGTCCATGCCCACCTCTGCCGACAGAGCACGGGGTCCCTGACCCGTGGAGGCTGCTTTCTTGTTCCCTTTTTTTTGGTACGTGCCCCTAGCGGGAACCGAACCCGGGACTCTCTGGTCCGCAGGCCGACGCTCCAACCGCTGAGCCCAACCGGCCGGGGCTGAGGCTGCTTTCTGGTTGGCTCATTAGAACAAGGTTCTGCAGCTGACAGAGGGGTAACTTGGTCTGTGACCCAAACCCTCATGGGTCTGGCGACCTGCCCTTTAACTCGGCAGGAGTCGTGTGGGCTGTGTCCGGGGTGGGGGTACCTGCAGGGGCAGCTCAGCGAGCAGGGGCGTGGGGCCCCCTCGTCCAGGCCTGTTCACGCGCAGGGAGCGGGGCCGCCCAGGCCCGCGGGTCTCATGTCGGGGAAACTCGGCTGGGCCCCCGCCGTGCAACTCCGGGCAAGGACGTGAACTGCACCCCAGACAGCGGCGTCACGACAGCCGACTGCAATGTGGGAGTTGGCCAGAAGCAAACGAGACCCTCCCCCGGAACAGCAATGTCCGCACCTGTGCCCCGGACCCGCCAGGAGGTCACGGCCCTCGATGGCCTGCGGTGCCCTGACCCCTGACCGGTTCTGGGCTCCCCCACGATGTCCCGCACCTAAGGGCCCCGGGAGGAAGCCAGCTTTCTGCGGTTGTAACAGCCCCCTCTGGTCCGGGACGTGCAGGCTTGTCCCATCCTGTGACCCTCCTCTGTGAAGCTAGTGTGTGTTCATTGCGTGGGTGATGGTGACCGGGAGGCTCGGCACAGCCGGCCAGGGACCCCCTGAGGACACTGCTTCCCCGGGGAGGGCCGACACTGTCCGAAAATAATCTCGTAGGCAGTGGTTCCGAAATTCTGCGATGTCTGTATAGTTCAAGGGAAGCTTCCATTTATCAAGTCAAATCAGATTTCAACGAGTATGGTTTTAATTAGATTTCACTATATAAAATGTCATCAGCTGACCTACGCTGGTCACAGGGCTGAAGGGGAGACACGGAGCGGTCACCCCTGAGTGAAGAAGTGCCCCCAAGGCAGGCGGTGGGAACAGAGGGATTTCCGTCCCTGCCTGTTCCCCCTCCTCCTCCTCAGGGCGGGGGACGGAAGGGGGGACGGAAGGAAGGCCGGGCGGTCTGTGCCGTCGATGGCAGCAGGGTGGAGGGCCCTGCGTCCCCCCAGCCCTGGGGCCACCCCGAGACATCGCTCATTTCCAAGCACACGGGCCACACCTGGCCCCACCGGAGCGCGTCCTCACCACTGTGACGGGGAGGGTGGGGGACGGAGATGGCCGTGACCCCCTTCTGCCTTGCCCCAAGGGACGAGTTCAGCTGGACCTCCCCCTGGGCAGACCAGGCACAGGGGTCACCGTGGGAAACGTAGGACAGAGAGGAGCGCGAGACGGAGCCTTGGAGGCCTGGGGTCCCCCCTGGCTCCTTCAGGGTGGGGTGACTGGGAAGTGAGCCCACCTCTCCGAGCCCCAGCTCTGGGCTGGGCCTTCCCGTTCATGAGCACAGCGGGGCGGCCTGGCTCACGGCAGGAGTCGTGGCAGGTAAAGGACCCTGCACCTAACGGCCCCGCAGGGGCATCTGAACGGGACCGTGTCCACGCAGCTGTTTGTCTTACAAGCGGCTCTGCTCTGGTTGGGGTGAGTCCCACGTTGGGGAGCCCTCGGGCTAATCTCTTGGAAATTCAGCCTTGTCCCCCAAGGGCAGCTCTGAGGGCCCTCAGGACAAGCTCCCAGGCCAAGGCCAAGGCCAAGGCCGAGGAGGCTGCCTGAGCCCCACCCCGACCTTCCCGGGGGCGTCTCGGGCCGCCCGGGGGGACGTCGAATTGGACGAGGCCTCGTTAGCCCGTGCTCACCGCAGTTTACATGTCAGGGCCGTCCTCAGTCTACAGGAGTCTTTGAGAGAATTGTTCAGTCCAAACCTACGGGGAAAGGGGGGCCCAGGAGGACGAGCCCGACGTGGGCCCCAACAGCTGAGCCCCCCGTGCGCGGCGTCTGCGGGACTGGTCTTCCAGCCGGGGGCGCCCCCGCCCCCGCCCCACGGCTGGGCCCTGCACAGCGTCCTGTCTCAGTGGCCGCCAGCTCCTTGTTGTATTCATTGAGACCAGGTCCGTTCCCGGTTTTACGCCCCGTTAGGTCGAAGTGTGTTGACGGCTCCTCTGTGGGTTGGTCCATCTGGGCGAGGCGGACGGACAAGGGCAGACAAGTGGGGAGAAGTCCCCCTCGTAAGCTTGTGGGGTCAGCAGCTGGTGTGTCGTCGTCCCCAAGGTCACTCCAGGGGTGAGGTTGTCCCCGGCCGGCACTGTCTGCAGAGAGCTTCGCTGTTATTCGGGGATTTGTGGCCAGAGCAACGAGGGGCTCAGTCCGTTCACAGTCCCGGGGGGCTGAGCGGCTCACCTGGAAACACGGCCCGAGGGGCACCCGCTGCGCCGGGACCCTCAGCTCCTCTCGCACAGGGGGGGAGGCTCAGTACTGGTCAGGAGGCTGTAAGGAGAAGCAGCCAAAGACGCCTTTGGGGGCATCGTTGCTAGTGACAGAGCCCCAGTGGCTTGTAGCCAGGTTTCCAGGAGGGGGCCACGGCTGCCGGGGGGGGGCACGGGGCCCCCCACTCACCTAACACTGTGTTTTCTCTCCTCAGGGTGGGAGAGACAGTCGCTCTGGGTCGCCCATGGCCAGACGCTGAGCCCGAGTCCGTTTCCCGAATCCCGTCCTCGGCTTCTTAATATCCCCGCCCTAGGATCTTAACAGGGTCCCCGCCCGCCCCTAGTTCTCCACCAACCTCTCGCCTAACCCCTGGACTCGTGTACGGTGGGGTCCCGCGCACGGCACCCCACTGGCAACTCAGTCACACGGAGACACACAAACACGGAACAGTGCAACCGTCCCCACCTGACGTCTGGACAGTGTCCCGGAGTCTCATTGCACGCGACGCGCCCCGGAGCCCGAGCGCCCCGGTGCCGGCCGCCGCCCCGCTGGCCCTCCGTCCTTGGACTCGCTTTGCACGCTGACCCGGCCCTCGGCTTCGGGCACTGCTGTGAGACGCTGCTGCGGACCCAGGACACGCGCGGGGGGGCTGTGACGGTGCCCTCGGCCTCGCCCCTGCCCCGTCTCCCCGCTCAGGCCCCTTCCCCCCCTAACAGGACTAGGCAGCAGGAGGGGCTTCACCCCGTGGGAGCTTCGGTATGTGAGGTGCAGGCGGGCAGCTGGGAGGAGAGCAGTGTGGTGGGCGGGGCGAGCCCCGGGCTGCTCCTGTGCCCCGTGGGCCGACCTCGGCGGAGAAAGGACGGAGGCAAAGGGCCGGGCAGTGGCCTGGAGCAGGAAACAGATGGGGACACAGGGGGGACCAGAGTGGCCCCTAGAGACCCCGGTTTCGTCACCAGAGCCCGGCTGAGCTCAGGGAGACCTGCAGAGAGATGGACTATAGGAGACTTCGGGGTGGCCGCGCAGTGTCACCCTGGTCACTGGAAAGCAGCCGTGACAGGTGCATGACCAGAAGGGCAGTGCCTACTGCAAACACTAACCCTGGGGAAGGACAACCTCCTGGCCTCCTGGGAGGGGGGCTGCGTGACCAGGCTTCATACAGCCGGCCGGCCAGAACCAAACCCCGCCCCGACCAGAACCTAACCCCGCCCCGACCAGAACCTAACCCCGCCCCGGCCAGAACCTAACCCCGCCCCGGCCAGAACCTAACCCCGCCCCAGCCAGAACCTAACCCCGCCCTGGCCAGAACCTAACCCCGCCCCGGCCAGAACCTAACCCCGCCCCGGCCAGAACCTAACCCTGCCCCGACCAGAACCTAACCCCGCCCCGGCCAGAACCTAACCCCGCCCCGGCCAGAACCTAACCCCGCCCCGACCCAGAACAGAACCTAACCCTGCCCCGACCAGAACCTAACCCTGCTCCGACCAGAACCTAACCCTGCCCCGATCAGAACCTAACCCCGCCCCGACCAGAACTGAACCCCACCCCGACCCAGAACCGAACTCCGCCTAGGCCAGAACCGAACCCCACCCCGACCAGAACCTAACCCTGCCCCAACCCAGAACAGAACCCCGCCTCAGCCAGAACCTAACCCCGCCCCGACCCAGAACCGAACCCTGCACCGGCCCAGTCCTGCCAACCACAGGCTAGACAAGCTGTCACTGGGCGGCGCCCGCTGAGCTGACAGCCCCGCCCCCTAACTCCTGACTCACCTTTGCTCTTCTCCCCCCCTCCCAGACCCGCCGCCGCCTCCCTGGAAGGAAGGCGGAGCGGCCTCCTGGGCCCTCTAACCCATCTAACCTGAATGTCGAGTGTGGGTTCATATAACGTCTACTAACAGGGAGCCTCGGTGAGGAGAGGGTAACAAAAACAAAAAACAACAAAAAAAAGAACTACCTTTGGGAAACAAAACCTCCGAACTGCTCGAGCAGGGCTGACGTTGGCCCGTGAGCCCGAGCAGACCACGTCCACGGCGGCTGTCACGGGAAGTGCACGCCGTTCTCGACAGTGACATAAATAAACTTCTAGTGATACTCGCACCGTGTCTGCCTGTCATTGGGTCCATGCCACATGAGCCACGACGCCCGAGCGGTGGGGCCAGGCTGCGTGGCCAGAGCGCGGAGCCCGCCACGCGCCCTCCGGCAGGTGCGCCGTCCCGCCCGGTTCGCACCGCGGGCAGGTGGAATCGGTCGCTGCTGGGCATCGGCTCTGACACCGGGACCGGAACCTCCCCGCTGTCCTTAGACGCCGTTCAGAGAGCACGTCCCAGGGAGTCCGCCCACGTGGACTGAGGGATCTCCGACGGATCACCTCTTGCATGTTTTATCTCGTAGAGACTTGACCAGTGGGTTTGGAAATTTTCGTTTATAGCTGATTTTGGCTACAAGAATTCTCTTTCAAAAGATCTGCTGAAATGACCTGTGTTGCTTCTGACAAAACCAGGGCTCCCTCTGTCCGGCAGCAGCGGGGAGGGACCCGTGGCCCTCAGCCAGAGCGCCAGGGCCGGGCCCCGGGCAGCGAGCCAGTGCCAGGGAGCGCCAGGCCCCGAGTGTGGCTGAGACTCCGCGCTGCCACCGACCACCCCTTCCTCTTTACTGCTCTACCCAAAGCCCTTAGGATGGGGGATTTGGAAATTGTGTGAAGATCAATGGTGGGTGCCAGGGCTCGGCGGGCCTGAGGTCCCAAGTCACCCTGCACCTCAGATGCGCACAAGAGGCTGGCAGGTCGGCCCTCGCGCTGGAATGCAAACACTCACGCGGCGAGGACCACGCGTTCCGGTGGAGCCTTGGAGAAGCACCCCATTTAGCTGCAGCGATCTGTCGTAGGGGGACACGTTTTCCATACTCTGGTCACTTAAAATACCCCTCCCTCTCATAAGAACGATTAGAGCACCCCCCCCCCCAAACAAGCAGGCACCACGACTCTGACCAGCCCCTCTGAGAGTCCAGGGTCCCATGTCCTTCATGCAAACGTGTGTGGCGTCCTCGTCCACGCAAGAAACAGTGTAACCGCGACGAAGATTCCTCCATTTAGACCCCAACAGGACAATGACTACACACGGCCAAATTCTGAACTTTTAAATAGGATTAGACGCTAAAATAGAAGCGGACTCCACCTGTGTTTCTGGGTGAGTCCGATGTCCCACAGCTCGTGAACGGACACCCGGGTGGAATGACGACCCTGGTTCACTTCACGGCGGCCTCAGACCCCCCCAGAGGAGAGGAGGGTGTGCGATGCCCTCGGGACAGGACATGCGACACCTCACACAGGCCACAGCTCGTCACCCCCGCCTGGACGCACTGCGGATCCGCCCGGCGCCGTGCTGACCGTCCGTGACCTTGACACTGTCCCACCCCACCCAGAGCCCGAGGAGTCCACACCCCGAAGTTGTGAAATAGCACGAGAGCCGTTTTCATTACTCTCGAAGCCAGTGGCCTTCGGTCAACTACCCACTTCTGATGCCAAGCTGGTTACATCGGTGTCATCCAATCTAGAAACTGACTGCAAAACCAAGTCAAAGATTCAAAAAAAAGAATTTTCTGAAAAAAAAATTGAACATTTCCTTCAGTGGTGAATCAATGGCCCGGGGTGTCACGTGGGAGCTGGGCGAATCCCCAGTCCCCGCGCTGCGAGGTGTCCCGGGGGTGACCAGAGGCACTGCCCTTCCGGGTCCCTGCCCGGGGCTCCCGCGACGGTGCTTTCTAGTGCTGAACCGTCTCCCCGGCACCCCCACAACCCCCACAGCGGCCCTCTGGGAAGGGGTGGGGCGCACGTGTGTGGGGAGGCCAGAAGCTCAGACCAGACGGGGGGGGGGGGGGGGGGCGACTCCTGGCCGGAACCGCGCGAGGCAGAGCCGTCTCCCCCAGGGGTGCGCAGGTCTGCCGCCCCACTTTCTAAACCACAGAGGAGACCAGATTTTAAAACGCTCCTTCCATTAGAATCAGCTCGTGACAGGCCCCAAGGGCGGCCGCAGGCACCTCGGACACTACCCGGCCCCGAAGCGCCTGCGCTTGGCACCAAGGGCGGCGGTGATGAGAGGGAACCTGGGTTCACAAGACCGATGACGGCTCCGTCTGCGCCCCACTCTGCGGCCAGGTTCCAGAACGAGGAGCCAGCCGGCCGCGGTCGGCCCTTGGACGGCCCTCTTCTTGGTGGTGCTGGGGGGCACTGTCTCTGAAACCGATTTCTGGGGGAAAGTTCGCAGAGAGCAGGCACGAGACCCCGCTAAAAACAGAGCCAGACGACAGTTCTTATATCTTATGTTTCCTTGAAAAGGTATCGCTCCCATCGATCGGAGGGATCACTTTTTCCTAAAAAGAAAAAAAAGGGGGGGGGGGTCCTCTGGTGAACTGGAAGATTCTCCCGCAGAGGAAGTCCACACGAGAAACAGACCCCTCGCCAGACAAGCCACGTGAGAGCTCAGGACTCGGGGGACTCGGCCGTGGCTGTGACGACTACTCTCATTTCCTCAAAATGACCACGAGCAGGAGTACAAGACACTGTCCCAGAGAAAGGCCCCTGGCTACAGCCGGAGCCAGAGGACACCGGGGTCCCCCCGCGTCAGGACGGGCTCCCAGTTCCCTCAGGGGTCTGTGGTCAGAGGGCACAGGCAGACGGGCCTCCCCGACCTCCGGCCGCAGGCTGACCCAGGGCGGGGTGCCCTTGTACCCCAGTCCGAGCCCCGCGTGGGGACGTGGAGGTGTGGGCGAGGGCCCTGGAGTCCCATTTCGGAAAGGGAGGCCCTGTCCCCAGCCGCTGCCACGTGGCACAGCGCTCCACGTCCTCGGGGGCTCCTCGGGGACCTGGGCGCCACGGCACCACAGGCCGGCCACGGAGGGAAAGGAGATGCCACCAAGCTCTCGTCTGTCAGAACGTCTGCACGTGGAACGCACCCCTGGGCCACACTTTCCTGTCTTAAATATTCTGAAAGAAAAACAACACGTCACACTCCTGACTTCACGTTTTCTTTATTGTTCTTCCAAAACAGATATGCTAAGATGAGCTCTTTCTAAAGATACCATCACCTATCCTCAGAATCCTGGTGTGCAGAAGGCAGAAGTGTCGGCAGAAGACCCCGTCAACCCAGATGTGAAGGGCAGGGTTCGAGTAAAACGGTCTCCACAGAACGTTCTGTGAGCAGCAGCTTGATAATCAGGAAATAAATCAGAACAACACAATCACGTCTTGTGTTTGCCTGCTAATAAACAGAAAATCACAAATGGACTGATAGATTTTCTTTTCTTTTTCTTTAACCAAAATGAAAGTGGGTTTCAATCCCTGGTGAGGCGAGAGGGTGGGCGGTGCGGGGCACGGGGGCACGGGGGGCACGGGGGGCACGGTGTCTTCTGTGCACCCAGGGATTCAGCAAACCCCGCAGAGACTGTCCTGAGATGACGCTTAATGCTAAAAACAAAATAAATAAACCAGCAAGAACAAAACCTTTTAAGTTCCAATAATTCCAACTTTGGGGATATTTGTTCACCAAAATTAATCAGCATTTCTAAAATATTTTAATACAAAATTATAAAAGAAAGTGCATTAAAAGCAGAACCGTTGACACCATCTGGACACTGCTACGGCCAGGACGCACCGACGTCCGAGAACGACCGCGGGACTCAGGAGTCCAGGATCACAACAGTGAGTCAAATAAGGCTTTTTTCCCTTAAAAAAATATACAATACACAAAGCAGTTTGAAAAAAAAGTAATATTATTTAACAGTTTTCTGACTTAAATATTTTCACATAACAAAAGTTCCATGTTGCATCAGCATCACTATGTACAGATCCAAGGGGACGAATGAGAATCAAGAGAGGCCCTTTCAAAAAATAAGAGTGAAATGTCTCTTCTCCGGGGGCCTGAAGGCCCCTCGCTGTGCAAGTCCGCACACTATTTATAACAGAACCACCTCTTCTGAGACGGCGGCGATGCGAGAACAGACGCAACTGTTTTTCAGGAAAACGAGAACAGCCCAGCTTCACGTCACAACGAAAGACCCACCGACGAAGAGAATGAACACGACACCGTCTGAGGTGCTCACAGTGACGACGCTGCCGCGCTCTGGCGGGGACGAGGGCTCGTATTTACAAAATATACTGCTCAGCCACACAGAGGCTCATATATCTCTATGTACATGTGCACTTATATATAGAACATATAAATACTGGAGGGAAATCCGCGGGGAGAAGTCCCGTCTTTGGAACGCTGCGGGAGCCCCAGCATGGGCGCGGTGAGTGGCGCCACCGATGAGACCAGAATTCCCTGGAATGAACACCTGCCGATGCGAGAGGAAGCGGGGGGCCGGGCTCTGCCCTCCGACCACAGAGACAGTCGGGGTCGGTGAGCAGGGCCAAGCTCCTTCGTCACTTCTGTGGGGAGCGAGCGCTGAGGACCTGCGTGCGGCGGCGAGGCAGCGGCGGGCCTGCGGACCGGGCCCTCCTGACCACGCCGGCCGCTCCACTCCCGAGGCTCACGCCCAAAGGCTGCCCCCTTGGAACGAGTGGTTAGCACGGTAACGCGGAGAGCACTGGTCCAGCCATCTCTCCAGGTATTTAGTTCTGTGAACTTATCGCAGATGAAAACGAGTCAGTTCTCTACCTTCCAAACGCACAGGGAAGACACGGAAGACCTCCCGGGCCCTGCCGCTTCCGAGCTGCGTGCACCACCTGACGCGCGCGCTCGCTCGCTCTGTGGGCAGAGCCGCTCAGGACAGCGCGGGAACACGGCCTCTCCACGTGAGCGTCTCCGTAACGCAGCACAAGGAAATCAACGACAATGATGGAGACCAGCCGACCTGCTGTGACCGACGCGAGGGCCACAGGCAGAGGCCCTGCCTGCGCGACCTGAGCGCGGGGTTTCAGACGAATGGGAAGGCGGTGACGTTCCCCCGTCTGTTCCTAAGTCTCTGCAGACAATGATTCTTTAGATAATTTTATAGCTAAAAACCTACTGTGGTAACATGTTCAACACTTGAAGCTTCTGAGCAGAAATGCCAAGTGCTTCGCTCTGCACAGCGCGGAGCTCGGGACGCTGGAGGGCGCGGGCTGTCAGAAGACATTGGCCAGCGCCTGCCACTCGCCAGCGGTCTCGGGCACCACCTCCTCCAGGTGCAGAGTCTGGCTCAGCTCCTCCGCGCCCTGCTCCTGGGGGACGGCGGGTCCCTGCAAGGCTCCTGCAGGGCAGACAGAGCACAGACGGTCAGACGCTACGGCACAAGTGCCCAGTCACAGGGCGGCCACGGTGACAGGGACGAGGGCCTTCTAGACCACTGTGCTCCCACCCCACCGACAGTCATCTGAGCTGTGGTCTGGACGATCCAGGTGGTGACCATGGCTACTGGCTGTGGACACAGCAGAGGCCACACAAACACCTGAGGGCTGTTCCCATGGTCAGCGACGAGGGCAAACAGTGACATTCACTCCACACACCTCTTCCCGGAGGGAGCAGAGCAGGGACAAGCGCCCATGCATCCCTCCCTCAAACCCACCAGCGGCCCCCCACCAAGGCTGTGCAGGCCCGGCGCCAGCTCCTCAGCGCGCAGACAGAGGCCGGCTGGGGACGGGACGGCGACTCTGCCCTGCGGGCACCGCACACAGCACTGGGCAGAGCGGACTGGCTCGGACCCAGCAGTTCTCCCTGCACCTCGCGCGTGCCCCACACTGCACTCTGGGAAGGGCACCCTAGTGCCCGCAGGCAGGACGCACGCGGGGCGCAGGGTCCTCACCGGCGTAGCTGTGCGCCCGCTTCACGTGCAGCTTCATGTTGCTCTTCTGCGTGAAGCCCATGACGCAGTAGTCGCACTTGTAGGGCCGCTCGCCCGTGTGCTTCTTCATGTGCACCTGCAGCGCGCTCTTCTGGTTGAAGGCCTTCTCGCACAGCGCGCAGCGGAAGGGCCGCTCCCCTGCGGGCGCGGCAGCGTCAGGGCCCAGGCTGCCCGGAAGGGCGCATGCGGAAGGGGCGCACGGGGGAGAGGGGCGCGTGCGGGGGAGGGGCGCACGGGGGAGAGGGGCACGTGGGGGAGGGGCGCGTGCGGGGGAGGGGTGCACACAGGGAATGAGTGGCAGGTGTGGCAGGTTCAAGAGGTCGCGTGACCCTTCCTGCCCCCAGGCCAGCAAGTGCCCCCAGGGCAGCCCCCGAGCAGCTGCGCAGCGGCCGCTGGCAGTGGGCACTTCAGAAACACGGACACGGGCTCGCGCGTCTGGCTAACCCACCAGGGCAGAGAAGCAGGAAGCCCCCGGGCGGGAGACTGTCCAACCACACGACCAAAGTGGGATTTATGCGATACTTTTAAAATGTTGCCCTGGCCGCTTTGGCTCAGCGGTTGGAGCGTCGGCCTGCGGTACAGAGAGATCCGGGTTCGGTTCCCGCTAAGGGCATGTACCTCGGTGGCAGTTTGTCCCCAGCCCTGGTTGGTCGTGTGGGTGGCAGCCACTCGATGTGTCCCTTCACGTCGATGTCTGTCTCTCTCTCTCTCTCTCTCTCCCTCCCGCTCTACCTGAACAAAAAATGGAAAAATGTCCTCGGAGTATAAAAAAGAAAACGTTATTTAATTGCTCTCAAGTTAACTCAGACACCCGGCGATGGAAGAAGCTGCCGTGTGACCTGCGGGGCCTGGCAGGCTGTGTGGTCCCAGGTCCCGAGTGGAAGGCGCTCAGGTGGGGGGGGGGCGGGTGCAGGGGGCGGGCTCTGTGTGAGGCGGCCAGAGGGGTGAGGCCCAGAGGGCTGTGGCCCCTCACGTTTTCTGGGAAGACGGGCGACGCAGGCGCGACAGGAAAAGCAAGTGGAGAACGTGCGAGGACGAGACAGAGGGCTCCCAGGGACATGGGGGAGCCGGGCCGCGGGGCCTCACCTGTGTGGATGCGGCTGTGGCGCTCCAGCTGGCTGGGCTTGGCGAAGGCCTTCTCGCAGGCGCCGCACTGGAAGACCCGGGGCTTCCGGGAGCTCAGGGAAGGGCCCGCCTGGTGCGTCTGCATGTGCTCCTGCAGCAGGGCGGAGGGACACCGCGGTCACCGACTGGGCGGAGGGACACCGCGGTCACCAGACTGCGGGCACTCCGCCTCCTGCAGGCGCTCGGGTCAGTCTGCTTCTTTGTGGCCACACGGCGCCTGGACGGCTGACCTTGGGCATCTCGAGCCGACTCCCGAGCTGGTGTGGCAGCGCTGGTCGGGGCCCCCCTGTCCCCCCACAAGGCAAGCCCAGGGTCTCAGCAGCAAGCAGGGCCCTCCAGCTCCCCACAGCCGGGGGCTGGCCACGGAGCCGGGCCCAGCCCCTCAGCGCTCCCCTCACGCATGTCACACGCAAACACGCCATCGGCCGACCTGTGTGACCAGCAGGCCTCTTGAGAAGGAACACCCGGCTCTCCACTGCCCCTCGCAGAGTGGGAAGAGCTGCCCTGACACCTGCAGGCGCGGCGTGCTCAGGGCGGCCCTGCGGCGGAGGCGGGGCCTACCTTGAGGTGCGTGGCTCGCTTGAAGGCCTTGCTGCAGGACGGGCACACGTGGATGCGCTCGCGGCCGTGCGCGTCCTTGCTGTGGTGCAGCAGCAGGGCGGACGAGGAGAAGCTGCGCCCGCACTCCCGGCAGGGGTGCTGCCGGCCCTCCTTCTCCAGCGCGCCGCCCGGGCCCAGGTGGGAGGAGACGTCGGTCACCTAGAGCGGGTCAGAAAACCCAGACTTGACTCCGGCGCAGGCAGAAAGCCCACATGACCACACGCTCCACAGGCGCCAGCCACAGCGCCCTGTGTGTCCTCGTGGACGAGGTCAGCGGGGCCTCGCACCCAGTTGGACCAAGATGGCACCCGCCCCTCGGTGATGCCCAAGGGCCCTACTGAGCGGGTTCGCGCCAGAGCTCGTCACCCCCTCGCCTGGGCTGCGCCCCCTGAGAATCAGTGACTCGTCACAGCAGCTGCCTGTGGAGGGTCAGCGGCCGCTGGGTGAGGGGCAGGCCCTGGCAGGCAGACCAGACGCGCTGCTGGCGCGAGCTCGGGCTCTGAGCACGGCGGCGGGTCTGTTACAGACTGGGCCACAACGCTCAGCTCGGACTGGACTGAAGGACCCCACGCAGGCTTTCTGATCGCTCTAATGGGTGCCATCAGCATCCTAAACACTGACAAGCCAACACGGCGGGGGACTTCCTTGCTCAGCTTTGCCAAGTAAGAGTCAGCTCTGCAAACGAAAACTTATATGACGACTTAGTGCAAGAAAACTACAAACAAGTCTAGAGAAAACTGCTGGAACGTGTCTGCGTCTCCACATGTCCGGTTTCTCAGACCCTCTTCAGAGCGCAGGGTAGACACTCGGACAATGAGGGGAGCACGGGCACACGGCTGCCACGGGGGCGCTAACGTCAGTCAGCACTGCGTGAGGGAGAAAGGCAGAGACCAGGAGAGCAAGGACAGCACGTGCCACGTGCCAGGGTGACTTGTGGCACCGTGGCAGGCATGCACGTGTCCACGTGTCTGTGTAAAACACAAAACAACAAAAATGTGTTCAGGACACTATTTCTGGTGACTCAAAGGGAGTCTGAAGACGCCCGAGCACAGGACACGCAGGTGCTGAGACTCGGATGAAAACCTGTTGAACGAGCGGAGGGAGCACCAGCTGGGCGGGCCTGGAGCGCGAGCCGACGCCCCCAGCAGCGCCCGGGCGGCACCGGCAGGCGACGGCTCCTGAACCCAGCACCTCGCCGTGAGAGGTGAGCGTTCCTCATGCCTGCTCCCTCACCGTGACCACCACGGGCGCCTCTGGGTCCCGGGCACCCTCCTAGTGCACCTGTGAAGTGCGCGTGGTCTTGGGGGGGTCTTGGGGACCCCAAGACCACTGTGCAACCATCTCACACTGAAATTCAGCGAGGGGAGGGAAGCTCCCCACGCCGGTCCTGTCTGCTGCTTCACAGAAAAGTCCTCGCCCAAGAAAAAGTGAGCCCGGGTCTCAAACTCGTTTGCTGGGGCCGCCGAGGCTCCGAGTACACCCCCATCCAGGGTCTTCACCCCCGTCCAGGGTCATCACCGTGCATGTAGCCCTGCAAAGCGCTCGGAACAGGGCGTTCAGACTCTATACCCGGAACCATCACTCATTTTAAGAAACATTGCACTCTAAGGAACAAGACTAGCCAAACGACAGACAGGCCATGTACATCCACATGTGCGTGTATATGAAAAGGATAACGATTCTTTAAAAAATCAGAATAGTGTTTCTAGGAAACCTACAAAAAGAACCAAATGCAAGCAAACGGCCACAGGCGGAGTGATCGGAGGGCAAACACAAGGAGGCAGTAGGGCAGGAGCCACGGGAGGGTCGATGCCCAGTGGCAGCCGGACGCCTGCTGCCCGACTCACCCCACCGCCCACTCAGGGTCTGCTGACCCAGCTCCCGCTCCGTCTCTTCTGCGTCCGCACTCTGAGAAGCACGAGTGCTGAGACACTGTGCCTGTACCTGGTAGGTGATCTCTTCACAAGCAGCGGACGCCGGCTGTGGGGTGTGGCTCACCAAGATGACCTGTGGCGAGCCTGCTCCTCCGTGGCCCGAGAGAGAGGGGTCGGTGAGCAAGGCTGGGAACTGCTGACCCTGCAAGTGAAGAAACCACTACTTCAGACTTCGCACCGCGACCGAACTCAGCAACAATTTAAAAGACACGTTGTGGTGCAGTCACTTTGGAAAACCAGTTGGCAGGTCCTCAGGAGCTAATCGCAGAATCACCATGTGACTTGGCGCAAGTGCGCGGAGGTATGCACCCCCAGAGCGAAAGCCTAGGTCCACACGAACCGCGTGAAGGCTCACAGCAGCCCGGTGGACGGCAGCCAGAAAGGGGAAAAGCCCACGAACGGACAAACAGTGCGGTGACTGGGAAACGAAAGGTCGTCGACAGTGAAAAGGAATGAAGCACAGCACAGGCCACAAGGTGGGTGAGCCTGGAGGCCAGTCACAGTGACCACGCTGCACGGCCCATTCACAGAAAATGTCCCGCAGGCAGATCTAGAGACAGGAGCAGATCACTGGCCAGAGACAAGTGTCAGTGCCCTGTGGCTGCGGTGAGGCTGTTTCTCAGTGTCCCCAGGAGCACAGAACAAGGGGGGTTTCCTGGGGGGGGGACTGAGACGGCTTTAAAGATGCCCCCCTCCCAGAAAGCTGGGCCACCTCCTGTGGGGAAGAGCTGCAGGGAGTGGGCGGGGCGGGAGTGGGCGGGGCGGGGCAGGGAGTGGGCGGGGCAGGGAGTGGGCAGGAAGCAGCAGGTGGGGCAGGCACTACAGTCCCTGCTAAGGCTCTGGACAAGCAGAGCTTCTTAAATCGACTGGGACCCCAGTTCCCCAGTGCACCTTCAGAAAAGGTGAGATGACGGTACTTCAGGTACGTCCACACATCCCACTGTTTTGCCCAGAAGTGGGCAGATGGAAAGGCGCACCCACAGGAAGAAGGCTTCATGGGACGACCCGACATGGGAAGGCTGCTGATCTGCTCAGTGCCAATGCCCGGGCCCCCCGCTGAGCTGCCGTCTGTCGCTGGTTTCCGCCCCCTCTCAGTATATCATCGATTTAGAAAAACGGTGTCAGTCAGAATTAATAAATTCACATTTGCTACTTTAACAATCAAAGGCAAATACAACTATTGGTCAGAGAGTCAGACATTCAGATACACCCAAGAGCTTGTGTGGGCTCACAGATCAACATACTGCCGACCAAAGCCACGGTGTTGGAGACTCAGCTCATGTGAGTTTGCCCAAGGAAGAAGACAACCCTTCTCATTGTGGACATTACAGAAGGACAGACGAGCTGCCCGGAGGACGCGAGGTCTCCGTGGACTGCAGGTCTGAGGTGCCACCTGAGGGGCGCGGGTGACACCCACAGGATCTGAGTCCTTCTCACAATGCCTGAGTCTACAATTGTCTCTAAATTTAGTTTGATTAAAAATCTGAACACAACGTGATTACCAGTGTATTACTGCTGTTTCAATTGCTGACAGGAAATATTCTTAACGCAAATGCCCCGATTCAAAATGCAAATGTCCGGTCTGATAAATGCCCAACCAGCAGCTGGACGTGGCGAGCTGCACCCCGGAAGGAACCGTGAATGTCATTTCTGCTTTGCAGCGCGACCTGACCCACTCACTCCTTAGCAGCGGTGGAGAGGACCGTGGGCTCCCTCCCCGGGGCCCGGGGCCCTGAGCCCGCAGGGCAGTGCCCAGGGCAGGGCTCCGCGCCAGCTGTGAGCTGGGCACGGGTGCGGGCGGCACCCGTGCAAACGCTGAGCACAGCTCACCCGCTCGCTGAGGTCACAGGGAGCCCAGTGAACAGGTACGGTCCCCTCCCTGAGCCAGGCTCGGGGCACCTCCCGTCCACGCAGCACAGGAAGGGACCCGAGTGCAGGGACTCGTCTGGGAACGCGGGGGACTGGTGCTTGTTCAGAGGCTGCCCCCTGCTGACCCATCCGGGGAGCTGAGCGCTGCGCAGCCCTCACGACCTTGGCGAGGAGCCCGGCCAGTGTGGCTCCGTGGCTGAGCGTCGACCCTGCACCAAGAGGTCGCCCTGGTTGAGGAGGTCCCCCAGGTTGAGGAGGTCCCCGGTGAAGACACTCAGGGCAAAACACAATGAGCTCTCTCTGTGGCGGCGCAAGTCCAGTCGGCACCTGTGCACATGACCGCGTGGGAGCAGCAGGCACAGCTGTTGACCATGGTTCCCATCGGGAGGTCAGTCTTTTAGGAAATAATTTTGTTTGTTTATATTTTCTGTTTGTCCATTATTGTACTTAACATACTACTTTTTTATATATCAGAAAAAAACCCACTTCGACGCTGAAGGAAATGTTCAGAGCACCCGCTCTGAGAAGCAGTTGGTGAAGAGTTCGGCTCACCCCTTGGAGGGCGCCACACCGCATGGCGGCGGGCAGGCGCGCACCTACCTGGGAGGCGATGTTGAGTGTGACCGTGTCCAGGCCCCCTGAGAGCAAGCCCTGAGTGTCCGCCAGAGTCAGGGTGACGCTGGCCTCGCCTCCCATCGCGGACGAAGACATGACGAGGTTCTGCGCGGAGACGGCCGACGGGGACGTGGGCGCCGTGGAGGGCAGGCCGCCCGCTGCAGCGCTGAGCTCTGCAAGTCAGACCGCAGGTCAGCGGGAGGACCACGCCGTGCTCGCCAGCACCCCCACCCTGCCCGAGCGGCTGGACCGCGCCGGGGTCCCAGACCCTCTGGTTCCCGCTGCGTGGGCGCCGTGGAGGGCAGGCCGCCCGCTGCAGCGCTGAGCTCTGCAAGTCAGACCGCAGGTCAGCGGGAGGACCACGCCGTGCTCGCCAGCACCCCACCCTGTCCGAGCGGCTGGACCGCGCCGGGGTCCCAGACCCTCTGGTTCCCGCTGCGTGGGCGCCGTGGAAGGCAGGCCGCCCGCTGCAGCGCTGAGCTCTGCAAGTCAGACCGCAGGTCAGCGGGAGGACCACGCCGTGCTCGCCAGCGCCCCACCCTGCCCGAGCGGCTGGACCGCGCCGGGGCCCCAGACCCTCTGGTTCCCGCTGCGTGGGCGCCGTGGAGGGCAGGCCGCCCGCTGCAGCGCTGAGCTCTGCAAGTCAGACCGCAGGTCAGCGGGAGGACCACGCCGTGCTCGCCAGCACCCCACCCTGTCCGAGCGGCTGGACCGCGCCGGGGTCCCAGACCCTCTGGTTCCCGCTGCGTGGGCGCCGTGGAGGGCAGGCCGCCCGCTGCAGCGCTGAGCTCTGCAAGTCAGACCGCAGGTCAGCGGGAGGACCACGCCGTGCTCGCCAGCACCCCCACCCTGTCCGAGCGGCCGGACCGCGCCGGGGCCCCAGACCCTCTGGTTCCCGCTGTGTGGTTTCCAAGTGTCTCTGCACGTAAACACACTCCGCTTCTCAGGTCCGACGGAGCAAACGGCGGAAGGAGAGGGAATGTACCCCGCAGACCCTGCAACCCCACCTTGCCTCGGGGCACACGCAGGACAGGAGTGGGGCTGGGTGGGGGTGCTCGGCCGGCCCCGTGTCCCCTCCTAGCTCCCCCACACGCCCTGCTCCGCAAGCGAGCACACAGCACGGCTGACGGGTGGACAATGACTGAGCAGAACGGTGTGGCACAGGGGCCAGCTCGCGACGGGGCCAGGGCCACCGAGTGCCCAGCTGAGACACACAGTAGTGTGAGGCTCGCCGGGCTGTATTCACAAAGAGCAAACCCAGAGCTAACGGGGTCCGAGCCTCCCCCCACCAGCTGACACAAGCAGCACTGAGGCCCCGAGACCGCCCTGCGTGAGGACTGGCAGGCGGGGCCCAGGAGGCCGCACGGACACCACAGCACAGCCCGAGGCCCTGAGCTCAGGGAGCCGGCACAGCGGCAGCCGACCACTCTGAGGGACGCCACGGTCCTCCTCGGCCCCCGCGCGACGGGCCCTCGGCAAGGCTTCGCCCACGAGGTCCCAAAGGAGAGCGACACCAGTCCAAGCAGAGCCGCCCTCAGGTGGCCTGAAAGAACAGGACTGAAGTGGGAAAACGAACTTCCTCCAGCACCAATCACATAGCCAACTACAAGCTATGAGCGTGTCTGTTCCACACTTAGCTCCTGATTGCACGGAGACATCTGTCTAAAGCTCTAGAAGCTACAACGATAAACTCAAATGAAATACTCTTCAGGCACGACCAGGACTCAGGGCGCACACGGAGCCTGCAAGCCCACTTCCGGTCCCGCGGCCCTGACCCTGCTCCTCAGGGCGCCCTGGGCAGTCCCCGCCCCACCTCCCCGTCAGCCCGCCCGTCAGCCCTCCCGTCAGCCTTCCTCGCCGTCAGCCCTCCTCGCCGTCAGCCCTCCTCGCCGTCAGCCTGCCCGTCAGCCCTCCCGTCAGCCCGCCCGCCAGCCCTCCCGTCAGCCCTCCCCTCCCGTCAGCCCTCCCGTCAGCCCTCCCGTCAGCCCTCCCGTCAGCCCTCCTCGCCGTCAGCCCTCCCGTCAGCCCGCCCCGGCACTTCACAGGATCCGCACATCCTGGGAGCTCGGCGGACGGCCCTGCTCAGGTCCGTGCTGGGAAGGCTTCCATAGTCCCTGGAAGACTCAGCAACGACTTTGGACACTTCCTAAGAAGTGTGGGAGGTCAGTTTTCCGTGACATCAGCAAACACGTGGCAGGAAAGGTGGTGAGGGACAGGGAAGAGGCGAGGGGGCCACCACCGGGCAGGGGCTGGGGCACGGGGTCTGCTTCGGGCACCCCCAGGCCTCAGCACTCAGCCTCAGTTCACCCTTCAGCAAGTTCTCTCAGGTCCTGAGTGGCCCCCGGCCTCCGTGGGTTCCTGCCCACTCTTACCCACACCTCACCTCAGCCCAACAAGTCACCTGGCCCATGACATGATGTCACTCACTCGGGAGAGCCCCACAGGCCCGTTGTCCCGAGCAGTGGCCTGAGTCAAGCCCCCGGGCCCTGCCCGCTGGCCCCACCCGGTCTCCTGTGCAGTCGTGTGTGGTTGACGCTGACAGGCGAGTTCTTCAGTGACTGTGCCCCGTTCATTCCCAGGACCCGGAACGCGGCCCACGCGCCCTGCTCGGCCCGTCGTCAGACACTCAGTGCACGCAGCCGCCGCGGCCCCCCCAGCAGGTGCCTGCCCCGTCCAGCTGGGTACAGGTGCCGGCAGGCCCGGCTGTCTGTCAGGACACCGGCAGGTGGCGCTGCGGTGAGAGGTCTGCGGCTCCCAGGAGCCCTCTGCCCGGGACGAGGACGAGGCGGCAGGGCGCCCGCGGCCCCCCCAGCGGGCTCAGGACAGCTCGTTTCCTCCTCCTCGTGCTCACTGGTCACTCTGCACAGTCTGCTCCTCAGAACCTCCGAAGGGTGCCCTTCAGCGCCGCTGTCCCTGAGGCTGCGACGCCCGCACGCGGACAGGAGTATGGCTGGAGCCGCAGCCCCGGGAGGGCGGCTCGGCAGCGCGGTGCCAGACCCCAAGCCCTGGCGTCTGGGTGACCCCTTACTTTCCTCCTCGAGAGGAAGAGCTGCCCCAGCGCCGCCCCGTGAGTGACGGCCAGGTCTCCCCGCCGAGCCGCCCGCCGCGTACCTGAGGAGCCGAGCGCCGCGCTCTGCGTGAGGAGCTGGTCGTTGCTGATGGTCAGGGTGGTGCCTGCGGACGGAGCGCTGACCGCGGGCCCGGACAGCCTGATGGCGCCGTGCAGCTCACCGCTGCCACTGGAGCTGTGCTGGATGAGGTCCTGACCTGAACGGAAACGGACGATGTGACGTCTGGAAGCAGCAGGCGACCAGGCCCGACAGGTGCGTTGAACACGAACAGCACATTTACAGGAGAGGATGACGGTAAAGCACGAGACGCGTTCCTCTAACCGAAAGTCTCTAGTCACACTTCTCATGCTGTATTTTCAATCACTTCTAAAAACCCGGTTGCAGCTCAGCGCTCAGACACTTAAGTCGTGCGCTCTGTTGAATCGAACTCACACGGAACTGAGTCTTCACAAGGAGGCAGACTGCAGCTTAGAGTGAAGCCCAGGGCAACACACGGCGATGCCAGCGCCTCCTGCGGCTGGGCCCCAGGTAGCCGCTGAGGGCACCTCAGTCACCCCGCAGAGGGGCTCACGGCCACGAGGCCCGGGGGAGGCGCCCAAGCGCTCTAGCGTGACCACCCTGCCCTCCCGTGTCCCACACGGCCCCTGCCAGCCTCGCAGTGCGCAGGCAGAGGGACACAAGCGCTAGCCCTGCCGCATCTCAGCGACGGCCAAACGGGACGTCTGGGAAGACTGGGCCAGGACAGGGCTTCAGCCTCCTGCTGTCCGGTTAGGCTTGGCGAGGCAGCGGCACAGAGCCGGAGGGAAAGGCCCGTGGACGAGGGCCGCTGCGTCTGCGCCGTGGTCGCCGGCACTCTCGGGCTGAGCACGGCACAGACATGCACAGCCCCTGGGCAGAGGGCCCGTTTGCAAAACATCTAGGATTCACTTTTCTGATCCGTCTCACACAACTTCCCACAGGCCGCAGAGCCCGCAGCGAGGTACAAGGACAGCAGGCGGGCTGCTGTGCGTCTCAGGACTGGTGAGCGGCTGGGGCCTGAGACCTGAGGGCAGTGGAGCCTGCGGACAGCTGGGCGCCTGGGCGGAGCCTGCAGCAGGCACTCAGAGCTGGCAGGTCAGACCCGCGGGGCACGGACACCGACCGACCGTGACTGCGCGACCGGTGAGGACGGGAGGAGCGTCTGCGATGTCGAGGGGCCTACACCCGTGTCGTCCCCTCTCAAGGCTAACGCAGTCCCCGTCCTCACGCGACCCGGCAGAACTCAGGACGGACCAGGAGGGGGAGCCCCCACGTAGTCAGCACCGGTCTGCACGGATCGTGCCCAGCAGGTCAGTGGCCCACGGGTAAGACCTGCGAAGCCACAGGTGTCTGCTCTTTGCTGAGCAAACAGCAGGCGAAGAAGGTCACAGACTCAACTGGAAGTGTCGGGAGGAACCACCAGTCATGACTCCATCAGCCCTGAAGCCCGATGTGGCGCACGCAGAGCAAGTGCAGAGCGACACGGGCAGACTAGACCGCGGTGAGGGGACGCGTCCCGGGAGGCGACTGACCCGAGATGGTCAGGGTGATCTCCTGCGGGGGCCCCGAGGACGACGAGGTGGGCCCAGCGGCCTGCGCCAGGACCTGGCTGAGACTGGAGTTGTTGATGGTCAAGGTGATCTCGTGGGGGCCACTGGAGCTGGACACCAGGCCCTGCGCCGGCACCACCTGAGCGAGGTCTTGAGTCCCTGGTTTTGTTACAAACAAGACAAAGGTGGTCTTAGAACGTGGAGCTTCCCTTTTGCATCACAAACCCTCAGGGAAGCATCACTTCGGAAGGAAAGTTTGGGATAAAATCAGTCCCTCCTGGTCCTTCATCTGGAAGGACGCGAGCGCCTGGGAGCCAAGGGACACAAGTGACTCTGCGAGCGTGGTCACCCACACCACATGCTGGCTGAGCACCACGCCATCGGCAGGACACCCGTCCCTCGAGCCTTGCGGGGAAGAAACGGCATGGTCGCACCCCAAACCCAAACCGGCGACAGCAAGCGCGGATCAGGCCCGAACGGCTCTTACCGCCGCCGCCGCTGGTCAGCACAGAGTCCTGCTCCGGCATTGGGCTGATGGTCAGGCCTGAGATGGGCTGGATGACCACACCGGCGGGGGCCGGACTGCCTGCCGTCTGCAGGGAGCTGCTGTGCGGCGCCGAGCCCGGCTCCCCCGTCAGCTGCTGAGCGAGCAGGTTGCTGGGCTGTAAGCTTTGCTGCAAGACACTTGGGTCGATCTGAAAACACAGACATGGGTGATGCAGCCTCACACGGCGCCTCGTGCATTCAAGCCCCGAACCCCAGGCCAGGCGCCGCACCTGCAGCGTGATGTTGTTGATGCCCGAGGCGTCGATCCCAGAGATCTGGACGTTCGGCCCGACCAAGTTGGCCGCCAGCTGTAACTGGATGCTTTCCAGGGCGGCCAGGCTCCCGTCCGCCAGGGACACTGTCCAGTCGCTGCCACCTGCACGGAACGAGAACGGGGGGACGGTACCAGGAAAGGCTCTTCAACAGGAAGCCTCACTTTCACACAGGGACTCGGCACACGGCCCTTTCACGTGGTCAGTGGGATCTGGCTAACGAACACTGACACCCGCACCTGCGCAGACCTCGTCCCGCTCGGTCACCACAAACAGCCCTGAGAGACGGGCAGCACCGTGACTCAGGCAGACCGGCTCGGGCAGAGCACCGCCCGCCGAGATGTAGGGCAGCCGCTGCCCACCCCTGGGCGCCGACCACACGCGACCACACCGGGCACGGCGCAGGCACAGCCCGCCTCACTCCCGCTCAGTCCCCACGGGCCCGCCGCAGCCGTACCTGACACAGCGCCAGGGAGGATGGCCTGGCTCACCAGTCCCGGCTGCAGCAGGTTCGGATCGAACTGGCTGGTCAGAAGCGAGTTGTTCACGACCAGCACGCTGGGGTCGGCGGGGGTCGGGCTCAGCAGGCTGGCGGGCTGCAGCACCTCGGGCGCACTGCGGGGCGCGGACTTCCTGGCTTTCTTGGGGTCGCAGTGCAGCCGCATGTGTGTCTTCCTCCGGCCGGACGTGCGGAAGCGCAGCTCGCAGTGCGGGCACTTGAAGGGCTTGGCGCCCGTGTGCAGCCGCATGTGCACCTTCAGGCTGCCCTTGGTGGAGAAGGCGTTGCTGCAGACGTGGCAGCTGAAGAGCTTCTGACCTGCGAAGGGCCAGGCAGCGTCACGCCGGGGCGGGCGGGCGGGGGTGCCAGCGTGCCCCAGGGCTGGACAGGGAGGCGCGCCCCTCCTCCTGAGGGTGCAGAGCTCGCATCTCCCACTCTGCAAGGGGCCCCCGGAGCCAGCACAGGCAGAAGCACCTGGGAGCTCTGGGCTGGCAGAGCCCAGGCCAGCACCACGTGCGTGCCCAGCGCCGGGCACCAGCCCTCTCCACGTGCCCAGGGTGTCAGGAGACCGAGCGGGCACACAGCTGAGGGCTGTCACGGGAACCACGCTGCCCGGGAGTCCTGGGGCAGAAGCGTCCTGGCCTGGCCTCCCGAGAGACGGGCGGCAGACGCAGGCCCGGACCAGGGAGGCCTGACAGGTGCTCAGACCTGGCTTTCGCTCCCCAGTGCCCGGGGCCGACAGAGACCCCGGTGTGCGCGGTCACCAGGAGTCACCACACCTGCCTGCCCGTGCAGCCAGACCTGGGGATGCAGGACAAGGGAGCTGGTCCCCCTGACCCTCGTCACCTAAGGACACAACAGAAAAGCTGCACAGACGAGCACTTTGAGTAAGTTCAAGTATCTGCTAACTTAGCTCCTGACATAAACCCGTCAGGAGAGGGTCGAGGACCTTACAGAAATGTGTGGAACTCCATGGTGCTCTTCTAGTCGATTGTTTATGAACAAAAAGTACGACTATAAATTAGCTTGATAAGTCCTCACCCTACGAATCGTAACCACCACCGTACCGTTTACCGAGTCGCTCGAGCCCCATTTTCCCGTGTGGCTTGGGAGTGGAGTTCAGGGCTCGAGCCAGGTGGGGGCGCTGCCCTCCCAGCCCCTGGACACACCCAGAGCCAGGACGCAGCGGCTCAGCAGTTCCATGGGGCAGGTCAGCGAAGCCCTCAGGTCACAGGGAGAAGGGGAACAGCCCTGGAAACCGCACTCACTTCTCCTTCACAACTTTCTCGTCCAGAGTTCCTGCCCTGTAGCTACACTCAGATTCGCTGAACTCAGTGTTCACATAACCCAGACCAACCACATTTTTTTACCTCAGTGAGACTAAAAGGTGTTTTTTTTAGCCCTCAACCAAGGACATTTCTCCATGGACGTTTAGAGAGTGGACCGACGGAGACACTCCAATCGCTCCCTCCTGCGCGACCCCGACCGGGAGGGAATGGGCCCCAAAGCCCAGGCACGTGCCCCGCCCGGAACCACCCCGGACCCCAGGCCTCGGGCTGAGCTGCGCGCTGACACGCACCAGCAGGCCTCCGACAGCGGCCGTCTGAGTGAGAACAGCTGAGCGCTGGGCCCTGGGACCTGCCGGCCCTCAGCGTCCTGTGGGTCACTCTCTCCACGACAGGAATGGAAACGCTTTTAGATCCACTTCTCACGGTTCCGTAACTGTGGAAGTAGCTGAGCGTGCGAAATGCAAAGCAGCGGACGGACGGCGCCGGGCCCGCGCCAGGGAGGGGCCACACTTACCCGTGTGCGTCTTCACGTGGCAGTCCAGGGTGGACTTCACCGTGAAGCTCTTCCCGCACTCCTCACACTTGTAGGGCTTCTCTCCGGTGTGGATCCGCACGTGCCTGCCGGGAAGCGTCCGCTCAGTGCCTGCTCACCGCACGCGCCCGGGAGCGCGGCGGTTCCCCGTTCACAGCTCCCCAGACCAGCGTCGCGGGAGCTGTGTGCTGGGCGCATCGGCCACACAGAGCCCTGGAGCTTCACTCTCCACAGAAAAACACCTGCACACGTCCAGACGGCGTGAGGTCTGCAAGGCCACGTTTCCAGGAGCGACGAGGGCAGAGCCGGGCGGCTCGAAGAAGGGGTGCACACAGCTGGAGCCACAAAAAGAGGGGCTCGCCCACCCCCTCAGAATTTGAGAAGAGCCCCTGAAAGCCAGCCTGGCGTGCGCACTGTGCTGGGGCGGGCAGGCCTGGAGGGACGCTCGCAACCACGGCGGCAACGGGGTCTGCAGGGAGCCCAGAGCTGCCTCGACGCCACGCAAGCTGAACAAGAGCAGAGGCTCAGAGCGCGGCGTGGCCGTGATGGACACTGCTGGCCAGTGGTCACCTCTGGGGACAGCACCGGGCTGAGTCTCCGTCTTGCTCTGCTTCACCTTGACCGTGGCCTGCTGTCAGCGCCACTGAAGGAAGAACGAAAGGAGGTGAGCCAGCTGCTGGGCTGGGCCTCGCCAGGTCCCAGGTGTGGCCGCCACCTGCCCTTCCGTCGTGGGTCACCCTCCTTCCGTCCCCACTGGCTGCTCAGCGGCCCCGCCTGCAGGCCCGGAGCCTGCAGGTGTTGGGAGGGCCGGTGGGCACCTGCAGGGCGTCTCCATCGCCTGCAGACGGGCACCCTGCCCGGCACCACCGCCTCCCACGAGGGACCCTGGCCCTCAGCGGCTCGCACCTCAACTGCTCACCAGGTGGACTCCTGAGGACAAAGCGCCCAAGCCCTTTCCGCACACCGGCTGGCCCTCCTCAGCCGGACGTCCTCTCGTTTCATTCCCCGGCCCTGAGGTCACCGCGACTTCTCAGAGCCCCTCCTGACCTCTGAGCCGCGCTCGGACCCCACTCACCCGCCTCACTGCCACGCCCTGGCACACTCCCTTTCCCGGGGGGATGAGCCGGCCACAGTCACCTCCGCTCACTGGGTGAGCGTGTCCAACCCAGGAGCTGCCCAGCCACTACCACCGCCCAGCTCTGCCTTTGTGGGGTGTTCGGCTGACAGAGGAATGGGAGGCAGCCCCTCGATCCCGCCTGAAAACCTGTGTCTTCCTGGTGCGAAGGTGTCTTCCGCCTTGCACCCCGCTCCACCTCCCAAAGCAAAGCCTGTGCCCCCACTGTGCACGCACCTGGAACATCTTAAGGTGACGCTTCGTCTTTCTACAGCCTGAGCATTCTGGAGCCCACCCGTTTGCCACGTGTCCTGGTGGCCACCGGGTCCCCTCCCGCTAACTGCACCCCATGTAATGCCTGTGATCTGGCCGACCTGCCCTGAGACATCCCTCACTCGGACTTGTTCCTCCCGCAGACCAGCAATGTGGCGGCCCCCACCCCGGCCTGCACCCCTACAAGGCGGGCACCGGGTCCTCTAGCGAACACGAAGCTCCAGTTACGTCCAGTTACGTCCAGTTACGTCCAGTTACGTCCAGTGGCACCACAGCCCCACAGACAGGAGCACGAGCGATCTACAGAGCAGACCGTTCTAGTGACACGTGTGTGAGCCGAGCGGCAGCGGTAAGAACTACAGGAGCTGCAGCTGGGATCGGGGTCGCCGCTGTCCCTGCGGTGGCACCAGGCTGAGCGCCGCCCCGAACGCGTGTCGACTGGGGACGCAGAGCGCGTGCCCTGGCCGGGCCGTGCCTACCTGACCAGGTCGCTGGGCTTCTTAAAGCTCTTGGGGCAGTAGGAGCAGCAGTTGGCGAACCTGGGCTCGGCCTCCAGCTCGGCCTGCCGGTCGCGCAGCTCGCTGACGCGGTCCTTCTCCGCGGCCGACTGCGCCAGCACCTGCTCCGACACGGTAGCGCTCTCCTGGGGCTGGATCCTGGCTAGCTGCGCCGTCTCCTCCTCGGTGAAGGTGATCACCTCGGGGCGCACCTTTCTCGAGCTGTTTCTCTCCGCGCCGTCCTCCTCGTCCTCCACACCCACATCTAGACAAGCGCAGGGGAGCGTCAGACCCTGACGACAATTTCCACAGACCCAGGAGACTGGACTGGGCGAGTTCACGTGGTTAAACCTGCAGCTCAAAGGAGCTACACCTGAGGCTTAAAGAGACTGTGCTCACCGCTGTCACACCGAGAACTAAGCAGGGTCCCCGGAAAGAAAGCCTGTGGAGACGCCCTGAGGGGAGGATCGGAGGCGGCAGGGGACACTGACTAGAGGTCGGCCTGCCCACCGCTGCCGCCGAGCCCCGAGCTCCGAGCTCGCCACTGCCCACACGGCCGCTGGTCAGCACAAGCATCCGCTTGCTGACAGGAGTAGGAAGTGAACTGTTACCGGATAAAGAAAATCAGCCCGAAAGAGGCCAAATCAACATACTGGACAACAGCCCCCAACCGCTGAAAGAAAATACTATTTTTAAACACGTCTGTGTATATACTCGCTCCCTGAGCTGTGAGGACACACGTGCCCGATGAGAAACGAGAACCTGCTGCTATGGAGATGCAGAGGAAGGCATGCTGGCCGCTGAGTGCACCCCAGCAATCCTGGGGCTCCTCTCAGAACACAGGGAAAGGACAGACCACAGGAGAACGGGGGGCTCCTCTCAGAATACAGGGAAAGGACAGACACAAGAGAACGGGGGGCTCCTCTCAGAACACAGGGAAAGGACGGACACAGGAGAACGGGGGGCTCCTCTCAGAATGCAGGGAAAGGACGGACACAGAACGGGGGGCTCCTCTCAGAACACAGGGAAAGGACAGACCACAGGAGAACGGGGAGGGGGGTAAGGAAAGGGTCGTGGAGGGAGCGAGGAGAGAAAGGAAGTCCTGGGGAGACTCGCCCTTCAGCAGGAATTCCAGAAAAAGTAAATACAGTGAACTCCAATCCACTGTCAGTAAAACTTGGAAAGATTTGGGGGCAGCAGGTTCTAGATGGAGCCCCCCGCCCCGACACTGATAAAGAAATGTGGAGCTAATTGTAATAAACACTGAAAGTGACCCAGAACACTATCAATACAGCACACGTCGGGAAGGAACACAGGACAGCGAGTTCGAGCTGAGGAAGTGGACAGACAGGGCGGCAGGGTCAGGCCCGGAGCTCACTGCGGCCGACATGAAGGGTGACGTCTCTGCGGACAAGGGCGCTCTGGGCTCCTTTCCCAGGGACCCCGCGGGAACGCCGAGGGCCCAGAGGAGCACTGGAGCTGCAGGCATGGGGCGCAGCCTGACCGAGGCCCACCACGGCACGGGGCGCAGCCTGACGAGGCCCACCACGGCACGGGGCGCAGCCTGACCAGGCCCACCACGGCTCGGGGCGCAGCCTGACCAGGCCCACCACGGCACGGCGCCCACCTCCCGCCTTGGTCACGGACGGGCAGGGACACACACTGGACTCAGGTGGCTTCACTGGCTGACCAGTCAGCAGGCTGCAAACTAGATGGTTCTGGAACTGACATATGGATTGTTTTCAATTCACTGGCAGCTGTGAGCGCCTGCCTGGAAGGGGACCGCAGGCCCTGGAGGCCAGCTGCAGGTCTGTGGTGGTCAGGGCGATGAGGCTCTCTTTGTGCCTCTCTGAATCCGTGCTTCACAGCGCACAGACGTGTTTGTGATCAGAAAAGAACATTGCACTTTGTAGGCGATTGGTGCAGAGATTTTAGAGGTGATTGGTGCAGAGATTTTAGAGGTGATTGGTGCAGAGATTTTAGAGGTGATTGGTGCAGAGATTTTAGAGGTGATTGGGGCAGAGATTTTAGAGGTGATTGGGGCAGAGATTTTAGAGGTGATTAGGGCAGAGGGTATTTTAGAGGTGATTGGTGCAGAAATTTTAGAGGTGATTGGTGCAGAGATTTTAGAGGTGATTGGGGCAGATTTTAGAGGTGATTGGGGCAGAGATTTTAGAGGTGATTGGGGCAGAGGGGATTTTAGAGGTGATTGGTGCAGAGATTTTAGAGGTGATTGGGGCAGAGATTTTAGAGGTGATTGGGGCAGAGGGGATTTTAGAGGTGATTGGTGCAGAGATTTTAGAGGTGATTGGGGCAGAGGGGATTTTAGAGGTGATTGGGGCAGAGGGGATTTTAGAGGTGATTGGGGCAGAGGGGATTTTAGAGGTGATTGGGGCAGAGGGGATTTTAGAGGTGATTGGTGCAGAGGGGACTTTAGAGGTGATTGGGGCAGAGGAGATTTTAGAGGTGATTGGTGCAGAGGGGATTTTAGAGGTGATTGGTGCAGAGGGGATTTTAGAGGTGATTGGTGCAGAGGTGATTGGTGCAGAGGGGATTTTAGAGGTGATTGGTGCAGAGGTGATTGGTGCATAGATTTTAGAGGTGATTGGTGCATTCACCTATCACATGAGCATCTGGCTGATAAGCCTGGAATCAGCAAAGGGACAGTACCTCCAGCTCCCTCGGCCTCTCCAGGTGCTGATGCGGCGGAGGGGCCTGCCTGGTGCCTCCTCATGTGCTTCCTGCAGTGGACAGCCGTCCGGAAGACCTGCTCGCAGAAGGGACACTTGCAAGGCTTCAGGCTCAGGTGTGTCGCCATGTGCCGGGTGAGGCTGCCGTTGGTGGTGAAGGAAGCGCTGCAGACGCTGCAGCGGAAGGCCTTCACTCCTGGGGAACAGAGCAGAGACACGCTCCGTCACCTCACCATCCCGCCGTCCCGAGGCCCAGAGGAGCACAGCCCACGAGCCACCTGTCCAGTCTGCTCCTGAGCCCTGGCCACCTGAATGCAGGGACTGGACCCAGCGCATGGCCACGGACAGCGTCTTCCTAGACGCGCACGAAGTCGAAGCCCAGAGCATCTCTCTGGACAGCGTCCGCCTCTCTGCCCCGCGGTCTTTCACTCTTTTACGTCTAAACTGGCAACGTGTCTGCGGGATCTGCTCCCGAAGTGTCTCCAGGGCCCTTCCCGCACCCCTAGAGCACACGACAGGGAGGCCCTAGGGGGCCTGCGTCCTCCGCTCAGCGTCCCCTGCAGCCACGTCTGGGCACCGAGCACACTCCGAGCAGGCGAGGGGGCGCTCTCCTCCGACCTCCACCTGCTCTTCGCACAGGGGCCTCCCCAGAGGCCCTGCCCCTGTAAGTCGTGAACGACACAGGCCTCTGGGGCAGCGGGGGCCCTGGGAGGCCTGTGGGGCTCCAGGTGACCTGTCCTCGCCCGTGAGAGTCACGGCCCCCGCCCCCGACTGGCCTGCACCCACTCCTCGCCCCGGGGTGTTCTCAGCACTGCACCTCTGGTGCCAATGCAGCCTCACCCAGAGCACGTGGAATCCAGACAGCTACACTGTTACTACTTTAAATGTGCTGAACAGGTGAAAGGGATACATTTAACGTGCATTTAACTACAAATCATATACCTGATAAACAGTACATTTAGAACTATCACATCTGAGTAAGAGCATAAATAATCTGATTTTAAAGTGGTATAGGACTAGAATGCACAAGTGAATACGTAGAATCTCGACGTCGTGAGCCATCAGAGAAAAACGATTCTAATCCACAACCAGTCCCCAGCTCCCTCAGGATGGTCCTAATGAAAGACAGATGACAGCCCCTGCTGAGAACAGGAAACCGAACCCCCACGCAGAGCCGGGGACAGTGAATGAGGAGCCACTGCAGTGAGATGAACTCAAGGTGCCCACAGGGCTGCCACAGGACCCAGTGACCCTGCGCCACACAGATGGAACCTCTCCCCGTCCAGCGATGCTGAGTGAAGAGCAGAGAGTGGGCCCCACACACTGCAGCGCTGCCGGGCCAGCGGGAAGGCACCTGACCCCACTGCGAGGACAAGACCGAGCACGAGGGCGACAGGAGCAGGGCAGAGGCGCCGGCCGCAGGACTCATCCCCATGAAACGTCCAGAGACAAACTCGAGACAGACGCAGGCCTGCGGCTGCCGGGGCTGCAGCACGGGGCAGGGGTTTCTGTGGGCAGGTGGGCACGCCCCGAGCGGCACCCGGGGCAGGGCAGACAGGACCTGTGTGCGTCTTCTCGTGGGACTTGAGCACGCCGGAGGAGACGAAGCCGCGCCCACAGAGCGCGCACCTGTAGGGCCTCTCGCCCGTGTGGGAGCGCACGTGCTGCTTCAGGTGGCTGGACTTCTTGAAGCCCTTGTGGCAGTAGTCGCACCTGCAACGAGAGGCAGGCTCAGGGCTGCGACCTCTGGGACGCAGGACAGTGCGCGGTCCCCCCGTCGCCCACGGGAACTGGGCAGGAACAATTCTCGGGACCAGCAAGTCCGACGGGTTCCCCAGCAGGCACAGTATCTGACTGACTACGGTTTTTAGACACAGTGAGAAACTACCAGGTGTCACTTTCTTCACCAAGTGACCGAGGAGACACAGAGCTTCCTCTGCTTGAGTCAGAATCACTCCTGAGTCCGACACGTGGAAAAGTCGATTCATAAAACCCTTTGCAAAACAGATTTTACTGCGGCTACTTTGAATCTGACATATTATGTTTGCCCTTAGTTGGTCTGGAATATATTAAAATTACTTTAAGAATAAAAATACTTACACATTTCAAAATTTCTTTTCACATGCTATTAAAACTACAAGATTTAGAGAGAGTATTCCAGTACACTCCCCACTCTTCCTGTTCCCAAGTTCCAGTCTACGGAGAACTCAGTGAGCCCTCTGAGACCAGGAACCCACGCGGACAGCCCGTACCTTCCCCCGGTGTCGCCCGGTCTGAGGATGACTGCCTGGAGCACATGTAAAATGCACCCTACTCTGCGGGTGCGGCTCAGCGGCTCCCTAGGAAACTCTGCCTAGAAAAGCGAGTGACAGCACCAGGCTGACATCAGAAAGTGAGCTCTGCCGTCGAGATGGAGGTGGAACCGGCCCACGTGTGAGCAGGAAACACTCTGTTGAGAACTGAGCTGCACTGAACCAGGTGGCATTCGCTGAGGACGACTCTCCGATGAGGAACACCCCTTAACTGAAACCAACCCCCGGCAGAGTGACCCGGCAGCGCTGAGAGGAACCGGCCTGGTCAGAGACAGGCGGGTCAGGGCCTTCGCCTCCGCCCTCGCCCACACCGACGGGCCCCCTGGGCTGAGCACCCCCTCCCCCAGGGCTGCACCTGCTCTGCTGACAGGGAGGTGCCCACAGGCGCCCGGACCGTGAGGCCATGAGGCCAGCGCTCACAGCGATCAGGAGCCTGCCGGGCCCCGGGGCAGGACCCAGAGAAGTGGTCCTTGTGAAGGGAGAGTTTGCCCGTCACGTGTCCAGTCACATGTCCCGTCACATGCCCGTCACATGCCCAGTCACGTGTCCCGTCACATGCCCCGTCACGTGTCCAGTCACATGTCCCGTCACGTGCCCCGTCAAATGCCCAGTCACATGCCCAGTCACATGCCCCGTCACATGCCCCGTCACATGCCCCGTCACATGCCCCGTCACATGCCAGTCACATGCCAGTCACATGTCCCGTCACATGCCCCGTCACATGCCCAGTCACATGTCCCGTCACATGTCCCGTCACATGCCCCGTCACATGCCCAGTCACATGTCCGTCACACGTCCCGTCACACGCCCCGTCACATGCCAGTCACATGCCCAGTCACATGTCCCGTCACATGTCCCGTCACACACCCCGTCACACGCCCCGTCACATGTCCGTCACACGTCCCGTCACATGTCCCGTCACATGCCCAGTCACATGTCCCGTCACATGTCCCGTCACATGCCCAGTCACACGTCCCGTCACATGTCCCGTCACATGCCCAGTCACATGTCCCGTCACATGTCCCGTCACATGCCCAGTCACATGTCCAGTCACATGCCCAGTCACATGTCCAGGGACTGCACCACCACCCACCTCTGCCACACTCACAGGACAGGTACAGTGGCCACGCTGCGCCTGGCGCGCGGGCCGCAGAGGAGCCTCGGACAAAGAGCCTCACTGTACATGTGCGCTGTCCCTGCAACCACGGCAACGGCCTGCAGTGCTGCAGGGGGCCCGGCCCAGCAGCCGAACACAGCGGGAGGGGCTGCCACCTGCCGACTTGGCCCTGTCACCTTCCAGCTGCAGACACCTTAGCAAATAAATGTGTGTCTCGGGCCCTTCACTTGTAGAATGGAGATGGTAATGAACCTCTTCCAGAGGTTTCGGGAGAGTCAGACGCAGAGCCCCGAACGCGAGGCGTGCTCACAGGTGGCGGCAGCCGTGCCAGCCCGACGTGCACAGGTGTGCCTACCTGTAGGCGCGCCGGCTCTGGTCCTCGCTGTCCTCCAGGAACTGGCGGCGGGGCGGCGGCAGGCCCAGCTCCTCTTGGGACGGCTCCTCCATCAAGGGAGCTGTCTGAGACGTAACAGAAGCAAACTCGTGAACACTCGTGAGCACAGACAGCTGGAAGGAAGGGGACAGCTCGCAAGTGCGGAGGCAGAGGGAGGGGCTCCCAGCAGGTCGTCGCTGTCATGCGGCCAGATTAGCGATGATGGTCGTTTCCGCTGCTTTTATCAAACACGTATTTCACTCATCTCCCGTTAACTCACCTCGATGCAGTTCACTCAGGCATGAAAGTGATCCTAACAAGAGATTACTCTTTACCTACTCGACTCTCAATGACAGCAACTCAAAGGCCCACTTTCGAAAATACTGTTTCCTGGCTCGTCCCACAACCACAGGAAAACGGCGCGGTCCGTCGGGCAGCCAGGTGCCCGGGAGAACATGCCCACCGCCCAAGGCCCACGTTGGCAAGGCTGTCAGCAGCAGCTTTTATTTATTTATTTATTTATTTTTTGTATCCTCATCCGAGGACATTTTTCCATTTTTTGTACAGACAGAGTGGGAGGGAGAGAGAGGAAGAGAGGGAGAGGGAAACATCGATGTGAAAGGGACACATTGAGTGGCTGCCACTCGCACGACCAACCAGGGCCGGGGACAAACTGCAACCGAGGTACATGCCCTTAGCGGGAACCGAACCTGGGTCTCTCCGGACCACAGGCGGACGCTCTAACCGCTGAGCCAAACTGGCCAGGGCAGCAGCAGCTTTTAAAGGAAGAACACCTACCTGTTTGGCTAATCATTTTCAAAACTAATGAATATCTTCCAAAAATGGAAAAATCAAAACCAAAATGCAAATGTCTTCAAGCTAAGAAGTAAACTTTTAAGAGTATGCATTTAAATATTCATCTTTACTAGGCCAGCGTTCTCTGTAGTCGCATCGGCACGTGCACGGCGGCGCACGCGGGACGCCTGGTTCGGGACCAGCGCGACCACGTCTCTGGGCTCTGACACCGCGCTCCTGGCCGTCCTGCCGCTTCCCCACAGAGGAAAGTCACGCCACGCTAATGAAACCTTTTAGGACAATTAAAAAGTTTCAAGGGAAAAAAGAGAGCCCTGTACACTGCACATTCGAGCTTCCACGGGACACGATCGCCGCAGTCACAGACGGCGGGCTGCCCTCCCGCGCAGGCACTCACCGCGCTCCCGGCGGCGGAGCTGGGCGCCGGCAGTAGGCTCTGCTGGTGGAAGCTCGCGGACAGAGCCTGAGACTCCAGCGTGCTCGAGTCCTGCAGCTGCTGCACAGGCGGGAACTGCGCCTGCCGGCTGTACGTGTCGGTAACGGTGAAATCTGAAATAAGTTAGGGAAAGTGTTCTGCACACGCTATTCGTTAAGCCAAAAAGTTAGTTTTATGAATAAAGACGTCTAAAGAGATGCTGCTCTGAGCTGGAGTCGGGAGCTGCTCTCACCAGCAGGCCCAGACTCTCTGTGCGCAGGCGGGAGGCCATGCTCAGCACAAGCCTTGCAGGGCACAGGCCTGTGGGCAGCCGCCACCCCTGGTCACGCCTACATCCCCGTTCTCCTCAACCCCCTTTTCCTGGCTACAGACTGCACATAAAACGGTTACAGTCGCTTTCCAGAAAATGTGAGCGCACCACCAAACAGCGTGTGCGCACGCGCACACACACACATGCACACAAGCACATGTGCACACGCGTACACACACACAAGCACACAAACCCCAGGTGGTGGGGACAGCACGAACCCTGCGACAAGCCAGCCGGGTCGAAGGCCTGCTGCGGAGGAGGCTGCTCTGCAAACTGGTCCATGTGCCCCGGCAGCGTGTGCTGTGGAGCCACAAACCTGTCTGAGGACAAGAACACAGATACGAGCGCAAGTTACTTCCGACCTACCGACCTGCGTGCTGCGGTCAGTCTTCAACAGGCAGCCACCTGTGCAGAAGGGCAGCGGAGCGGCGTCCGCATCTGCAGGTGAGCCTGGGCGCCCTGTGTTCGGAGCACGTCACACTGGCCCGGACACATTCTCCTGAGACGTGCTAAGTGCAGCCACAGCAACAGCTACTAAAGACCTTTTGGCCGTGCACTGTCCCAGGCAACAGAAAGGATAAACCTACAGAACCCTGCTCGGGGACTACGTATTTTGGGACACCCACGAAACAGTGCGCTGGCCAGGGGAGTGGCCGGCACGAGGTGACGCCTGTGCCAGACGCAGTTGACTGTGCACTGAGCTCGCTGTCTGGGGTTGCACGTTTTTAGAGCAAGACCCGTCCATGGGGGAAGCAGCACGCGGCTGAGGTGGCGAGGTCCTTGCAGGCCAGTGACAGACCGTGCGGGACCGCAGCAGCCCGGGACAGGACTCAGCGCGCTGTGCAGAGCACCAGTGACCTCACAGAGGACGCTTGCTGGAAATGGAACGTCCCTCAGCACGCGGAGGGGACAAGCAGACTAGAGGAGGCAGGCACTGGGAGCCCTGTGCACACACAGCCTGCTCTGTGACTCGGGGCTGGAGGCCGGGAGGCCTGGAGCCCGAGCGAACGAGGCTGGGCACCGGCAGATGGCTCTGCAGGTCGACCGGCCACGTGTACCTTCGTCAGCTTCCAGAGGCGGCCCTGCCAGCTGCTGGCCCAGCCCCGCGTCTTCCGTGCCCACGACGTGCTGCGGCTCCAGCGTGAGCATGGCCTCAGGGCTCGTGGCCACGGCGTCCGCAGGCGGCTGCAGCTCGTCGCTCTGGACCTCCACCTGCATCTGCGTGGACACGTGCACACCCTGCTGGTCCACGGAGCTGCTGTCGAGGGAGGCCGCCTGCTGGTGCTGCTGGAGCTGCTGGGCAAGCTCATAGCTTCGAGAGACCAACCGGGACACACAGGTTAGATGCTGCCCGCAGGGCCAGGCACAGGCCGCGGCGCGAGCGGGACTCTACTCTTTCAGTCGGGAAGCGTCGCCCTAAGTAACGTTATCTGATTAAGCCGTCAAACATTTTTACTTTAACGCTTTATCGTGGAGTCACGGGGCCACCCAGGCGAAGAGAAACGCTGCTGACACGTCTGAAGGACAGCGCACCACCTCACCCCCGAAGAGGAGGGGCGCAGAGGCAGCGGGGGCAGCCGAAGGACGACAGGACGGAATTTTAAGGGAAATAATTGAAAAGCTGGCACATGTTCCCAAGTAAAACTCTCCCAACTCACACCCTGGGCTGAAGCTTCCGAGAGCGCTGCATGGGGTGAGGCAGCTCCCTCCGCTGACTCAGTCCACGGACCCGTGCAGGGCGGCCAGGTCCAGCCACCTGCTGCCTCCCGGCCCGAGGTCCTGGGACCAATGCCCGCTGCTCACAGAACAGAGCGGGAGGCACGTGGCCACTCTGCTTTTCTGTAAGACGGCCCTTCAGGTTAGTGCTGCGTCTTCACTGCACAGAACACGTCAAGTCCGTTCTCACCGAGGTCAACACTTTCTCTCGAGGAGGAACGTGAGCAGTGATCCGGTGACGAAATCAAGGACTCAAAGGGCAGCTGAAACGCCACCTGCTGGGAGCGCACGGGACTCGGCCGTGCACCGTCAGGCCCACCGCCTGCCCACTCGACCCCAGAATCTCAGGACTCTGCCCATTCAGAAGTCCACTCCTGCTTCCAACAAAATGTCTTCTCCTTACTGTCTTGATATGAAAAGCAGTCACGTCTCAGTAACTGTCACCGAGGAGAGGGAACAAGGACGCAGTAAGAAGCAGCAAGGACATGGGCCTGGCTGCACACGGACGTGGCGTCTTCTCCCCGGGCCCTCGGCGACAAGGCCCTTGTGCCAACCTGCTCCTTGTCGGTCTGCTCTGGTTTGTGCACAGCCTTCACCACAGGCCCCCTCGGACCTGGCTCAGGGTGAGGGCCGCAGCACCTGGCACCCCTCCCGCAGAGGCCGCACGGCCTCCACCACAGGCCCCCTCGGACCTGGCTCAGGGTGAGGGCCGCAGCACCCGGCGCCCCTCCCGCAGAGGCCGCACGGCCTCCACCACAGGCCCCCTCGGACCTGGCTCAGGGTGAGGGCCGCAGCACCCGGCGCCCCTCCCGCAGAGGCCGCGCACCCGGCGCCCCTCCCGCAGAGGCCGCACGGCCTCCACCACAGGCCCCCTCGGACCTGGCTCAGGGTGAGGGCCGCAGCACCTGGCGCCCCTCCCGCAGAGGTTCTCTGAAGAAACTCCAGCCCTGCAAGGACAGACCGACCCGTCTCCAGACTGTCACCTCAGCCACATACCCATCTCCTGACGTCACTGTGGCACCAGTCCCCAGGCAGAACCCATGGCAAACAGTGGCCAACGTGACACTCCACCAAACAGAGGGCACCCGCTAAAACAGCTGACCTGCTTCCCAGAAACGGTGCCACTGGCCACTGAGCCACACACAGGGCCTTCCCCCTGCTCCACCGCCGCAGAGCGTGTACTGTGCGCGGGCACGGCATCCGGCTGCGGTGAGCGGAGCACAGCGCCCTGAGCGCCTTTCCCCAGAACCCCAGTCCGCCCTGAGCGCCTTCCCCCGGAACCCCAGTCCGCCCTGAGCGCCTGCCCCCGGAACCCCAGTCCGCCCTGAGCGCCTGCCCCCGGAACCCCAGTCCCTGAACGCGGGGAGCACACAGCTCCCACTCGCAGTGCAGTGTGACCGCACGTGTGGTCACAAGCGCCCTCCAGGCTGACACCCGCACACCCCAGTCCCGACAGCCTGGAGCAGCAGTTACGCGTCGGGCGAGGGAAGCGCCTTGACAGGGAACCGCGATGCTGCCGGGTGCACGGAGGCAGCCGGGCGGGCACCAGGACGCCGCCCCCGCTTCTCACAGCTAGCTCACCGCGCTGCCGGGCCTGTGCCGTAGGCGAGATCTGGGCAGAGACCCGGCTTAAAACACCACTGAAAGCAACTGTTCTAGGGCAGAAGGGTTGTCTTCTCACTTCCAGAGTCTGTCTCCCAGGACGGCTCCTGCCCAGGCTTCCCCGGACCCAGAGCTCCGGCTTCTCAGAAACACACTGAACAGACTACAGACGCGCCGGAGACGCCACCGCAGGGCTGCTGGGTCCCTGCGCCCAGAGGAGCCCTGGGTGCGAGAAGCGCACACCCGCGTCAACGATGGGTTCTTGTGGCGGCTGGATCTCAGACTTTCACGTACGCTGATGACGGGCCCGCACTGAGGGCTGACGAAGTCCCTTCTGAAACCAAGACCTAAGTACACCAGCCACAGTCTAGCATGTCACCTGTCACTGACCACCGGTTTTAGCAGAGCTTACAGAGCGTTTAGCCCAATACAGACGAACTCGGCATTCTATTAGAGGTTGAAACTGAAACTGGAGAGGCCTGTGGTTCTCCACAGGTCCTCAGACACTGACATCAGTCTCTTCCCCACACACCTCTCCCAGAAGTAACCAGGAGCCAAAGACAACTCTTTCTCAGAACACCCCCAGCCCCCGGGGAAGGGCGGCTGCAGGGCCGGCGAGCGGGCCTACCGGTGCGTCTTCATGTGCTTCTTGCAGTTCAGGGAGGTCTTGAAGGTCTTCTGGCAGTAGGGGCACATGTAGGGCCGCAGGTCGTTGTGGATGCCCATGTGGCGCCGCAGGCTGCCGCCCGTGCTGAAGGCCCCGTTGCACACCAGGCACTTGAAGGACTTCAGCCCCGTGTGCGTGCGCACGTGCGCCTTGAGCACGCCCGCGGAGACGAAGCCTCTCCCGCACTGAGAGCACTTGAAGGGCTTCTCCCCCGTGTGCGACCTGGAGAGAAGCAGGTCGTGAGCCGAGCCGCCGGCTCCAGACGCTGTGATCAGCGCACTCGCCCGCACCGCTCTCCCTCGCCGACTGCCCCAGCAGCAGCCCTGCGCCACCAGCGGAGACCAGCACCCCCGGGGCTGCGAGAGTCACCAGGCCGGGGTGCAAGGGGCCAAACCAAGCCCCGGCTCCTCGCGCTGCGCTTTCCTCAGGGCCTCTGTCTCCCGAGACCCAGGTTCTACTTTCTTTTCACTGTTGCTACATCAAGATTGACCTCAACTCTGATAAATACACCCGAAAACTGTTAAAGAACATAACTCTGATGAAACAAACCAAATACTTTCTCACTGTGTCCTAGAAGCTGCAAACACTCAAATGTAACAGCAATGTGAAAAAAATTCAGTGGCAATTCCTGGCTACATATTCTAGTCGCGACAGTAAGGAACAAAGACATAAATCACCAGTGAGCACTCGGGGATCAACTATGACGTCTGCAATCCCACGAGCTACCACGGCACCCTCCGCGCCCCCGCCAGCTCGCTGTCAGCGCCCCGGATTCCCGCCTGGGTGCACCCACCTGACGTGCTGCTTCAGGTGACAAGATTTCTTATACGCGCGGTGACAGTGGAAACACTTGTATGGTCTGTCTGCGTCATTTACAAAGTTATTATTAAAATAACTTTGAAAAAACTGGTTTCTTGGAATGGGCTGGATAAGACCTACAAACCAAAAGAAAATCAGGAATAATTCACTGTCAGCGCTGCTCAACAAGGCAAACGTCACAAGGCATCTGTTTCACCGAGAAGAGGGAACTCCGAGGGTTAGAGTTAAATTCCAATGTGGCAACTCAATGCTACTTTAACTGTGTTAGAAACTGGCTACTTAAACACCTGTCGAGAAGTTCTTACAAAGTTAATATGAAGCAGGCAGTTTTCAACACAAAGAACACCTAGGTCGGCCCGGGTAGCTCCCTAGCCCTGGAGCCAGGGCTTGTCAGTCTCCGAAAGACCACTTCTCGGAGGCTGAGGAGTCCGGCCCCAGGGTGGCGTCTCTGCCTCCCAGGTGTCTCCACGTCTTCCCCACCCACCCACACTCCATGAGCTGATCCCTTCACCCGAGCCCTGGCCCGGCCACTCTGATGGAACTGCACGGCCCGGGGCGCTCCGTAAATACCCACAAGATCACACACACACAGAAGGTGTCTGCGAGGAGCCCACTGCAGCCGTGTGCTCAGGACACTGCAGACACTGCCGACGGACAGCCCTGGTCTGACTGGGGCTGTCACACCTGGTGATCCAAACCTCCTACGCTGACCTGTAACCTTCAGGTTCCCCTAGGCATGACTCTCTGGGGTAGCACCACAGCATAAGTATTTTGACACAGACCCCAGACGATTCTGAGCCCTCTGCAAGGGGCGGGGTCTCCCTGCCTTGAACTGTCTGTTTCAGACACTGTCTCTCCTCTAACAATGTTACAAGCGCCACGTTCTGTTTGAAAGTCAGGCTGATCACAAGGTCTCAGTCTTTGAAGAAAAAAATAAGGGTGAATTCAGCATACATAAAGGCCCTAGGGTACTGATTACAGTTTGTCATTTCACTAGACTGCCTACTAGACCTTTAATAGGGGTTTTTTAAAGGCAATTATTATTATTATTATTTTTTTTTAATCCTCACCCGAGGATATTTTTCCATTTTTTGTACAGATAGAGCGGGAGGGAGAGAGAGGAAGGGAGAGAGAGAGAGAAACATCGACGTGAAGGGACACATCGAGTGGCTGCCACCCGCACGACCAACCAAGGCCGGGGACAAACTGCAACCGAGGTACATGCCCTTAGCGGGGACCGAACCTGGGTCTCTCCGGACCGCAGGCCGACGCTCTAACCGCTGAGCCAAACTGGCCAGGGCTAAAGGCAATTATTAATCTCAAGGAAAAGTATGAATAAGTTTCAGTTAATAAGCTTCAAATGCAAACTAAAAGTATCCTTAAAACATCCTATAATCCTTCTATAACAGAAGAAACAGCTTCATTGTTTGGGGAAAATACAGCTTAGTCTTATGGGAGTGTTCATATACTGAAAAAGTGAGAATGTAAATATTGCAAAATGACAAACAAAAATATGATATATAACATAAATTTGATAGACTAGGTTAGACAAATGTGTCAAAGAAATGCAAAATTGATGTGCTAATATCAACATGATTGAAACGTAAATATAAACTAGGAGGATCAAGGTTTAAAATAATAGATAACCAAAGCCTGGTTCACTTCTAAGGAAAGCTATTTCAAACGTCTATGAAAAGCAAAAATGATATTTACACACACACACACACACACACACACAATCACATACAGAGAAAAATGGCGATTTAAAAAATAGACACTGGCTAAGTGTATGTAATCTGAAAATCCATAAGCAGCTACAGATCAGAATACTATGATCACCTGACTCCGATATGTCCTCAGCCTGCATGTATTTTATTTAAAATTTGGTTCTCAAACTGGGAGAAAGGATGTCCACAGTGAAATGGATAACATGTCTAGAGCCCCACACTGCAGCAAAGCAGTGACATTCGACAGGGAGGCAGGAGGCGGTGAAACCTGGGCAAGCTCCCCACACCTCGGTGCCAGCGGCAGGGGTCATGGGCGTGGGGAGGGGGAGCCCCCTTGACGAGGCCTAGACCCAGCCTGGGCGCCGGCTCTGCCCTGCACACGGGCTGCAAAGCCACCAGCAACACGAGGACCCTCTCCAGGACCCGGGTTTGTATCAGCAGCTGTACTGGAATCGTTAAGTTCCCTTGCAGCTGTGAAAGTTATTTTTAATACATTTTAATACTTTCCAGAGGGACAATCTTAGCATAAAACACAGTTTTGAGTAACTAGACTGAAAAGGAACAATTCATCTCCCAATGTATTCAAATAACTAACAAACCTGCTAAAACCGTCTGTCATGTTTTTATCAAGTTCCCCCAAAGGTTAGCTCAGTCAATCTATTCAATACAGCCCCCAAGGAGCTGAGTCTGAGAGAAGAGAAAGACATGCACATACATGACAGTGAAATTAAGCATAGAATTAAGTATTTACGACGTGTTACAGTTCAGAGCGGGAAGCCACCTGTATAAACCATCTCCCTCGTGAGCTCCACTCCACTAATCGGTCCTAAGCTGCAGGCGTCTGTGAAGCCAACAAGTGAAACATGCCCATTTCAGCCTTGGGAAAAGCCTAGAGAATCGGACACTAGCTTCACTCAACTAAGGATTTCTAAACTTGAAGTCAAGAAACCCACAGGTTTTAACTTGCTTCATGGCAACCTAAAAATCTGATAATTTGAGGGTAAGCTCCAAGCATGAAGGATAATTTAGGGCCACTGAACAGATATTTAAGCTGCCCGGACTTTTCCAGAACACCACAAACCACTGAGAACCTGTAGGCTGTGGTGAGGACTGAACACAGAATTCAGTAGAATTGGCCCATTCTGTTTGTGAGCTACCGAAACCAGGCAAGGACATCAAATTGTTCTAACCACCACGGGAGTGCAGACCCATTTCTGTGCTCTAAACCAGGGGTGGGGAATGTCATCCTGGGGCCACACCAGGACCTTGAAGTCAGTGCCAGCAAACATCACACGCCTGACCGGATCAGCCTGACCAAATAGCACAGGCTAGTGTTCAAGTGCATAGTTTTGTTTGGCCCATGAGCGATGTTGTAAGTAATTCAATGGCCCTGGGCAGGAAAACGGTTCCCCACCCCTGCCAATCAAATCTCCTAAGAAGTCTAGTTCCTCGGAAGCTCAGAGATCAAAGCAGCCCAAGTGGTGATCCACTGCACACCCGGTAGGAGTTCTAAGATACACACCTTCCAGCACACTGAGTGCATCGCACCGTGACACCTGCACACCTCGGACAGCTCCACTCGGGAGGAAATTCTTCTTCCGTGAGAACTTACTTACTAACATCTTCGCACACACACATTTCTCTTTTAACCAAGAACACGACTGAGCAGCAGTTCAGACAGGAGCAGGATTTACATTGTAACTGTGTACCTTCCAGCCCATAAGACACAGCAACGCTTTGCAAGAACCTCACTGCGGCAGCCTGAACTGCCCGTGTGACCAGCGGCTCGCACGCCCTCAGGGGGCCGGAGGGACGAGACCCTTACCCACGTCGGTTATGAGGATCGGCTCCTGCAGCGGAACGTCAGGGGCGGGGGCACTGGCCTTGCCCAGGCGCACCTTGGTGGGCTTCCGCTGGTGCCTCGTCTTCCTCAGCTCCGAGTGTTTGAAGTGGGAAGCCACATGTGTCTTCCTATGGCCTGAGGTTCGGAACTTTTTGTCACAGTGAGGACAAGCAAAAGGTCTGACCCCTAATAAAAACGAAAGTACACCACAGAGTTCTTGCAAAGAAATACATCTTAAAAATTCATGCCACCATAATATTCTAGTATTTGTCGATTTGACTATTCAATTTGTCATTTCGTGTTTATAGTTTTCTGGCTAATAAATCAGTTATTTCCCCTAGTCTGCGCACAGTTCATACTATACACGTTAGGGCATGTAATAAAGGCATAAGAAAAAAATGGGCTATTTTCAGAACAGAGTAAAATACGGCTATTCAAAGGACTGGGGCTGTTCCGGGTGCTGAGGTCTGTGACCCGCCCCCTCAGCCTGCGGGGCTGCTGGGCTGTGCGCACGGGTTCAGGGAGCCCCGCAGCGCTCCGCGCCCAGGACACCAGCTGCCACTCCGGCAACACGGCCGCCGCCGCTGCTGCGAGGAAGACGCTTCACAGCCCTGGCTACCCCTTCCCTTTCCTGAGGGAAGTTTCCTTCTTTTGCATTTTTGTTGATACATGAAAATGCAGATTCCAAAGAAGGACATATAACAAAATTAACTGATTTTAGCTTTTTCAAACACTCATTCACGTGGTCAGCTCAGCCAGGAACCCCGGGCAGGTCAGGCAATTTACCGATAAGGGTCCCAGATTCCTTTTGGGGGTGATAAAAATGTGTAAAATTGGACAGGGTGTGGGTCTCACAATTCTTAACTGAGCACTTTAAAATCCTAAGTGTTATGATCGGTGTTACATCTCAATAAGGCTATTATAAATACAACTGGAGCCTGAAAGAGGTCTCCGTGCCTTGCTACCGGTCACAAACGAGCTGACTGGAGGAGGCACTGCCGCCCGTAGGGTGGAGCGCGGGCCTGTGCAGAGACTCGCCCTCCGCCCCGCTCTGCCCAGCGCGGGACCCGGGGCCGCCCGCAGGGGCCTGCGCACAGGGCTCGGCCTCCGCTCTGCCCAGCAAGGGACCCGGTGCCGCCCGCAGGGGCCTGTGCACAGACTCGCCCTCCACTCTGCCCAGCGCGGGACCCGGTGCCGCCCGCAGGGGCCTGCGCACAGACTCGCCCTCCGCTCTGCCCAGCGCGGGACCCGGTGCGCCCGCAGGGGCCTGTGCACAGACTCGCCCTCCGCTCTGCCCAGCGCGGGACCCGGTGCCACCCGCAGGGGCCTGCGCACAGACTCGCCCTCCGCCCCGCTCTGCCCAGCGCGGGACCCGGTGCCGCCCGCAGGGTGGAGCGCCGGCCTGTGCACAGACTCGCCCTCCGCTCTGCCCAGCGCGGGACCCGGTGCCGCCCGCAGGGGCCTGTGCACAGACTCGCCCTCCGCTCTGCCCAGCGCGGGACCCGGTGCCACCCGCAGGGGCCTGCGCACAGACTCGCCCTCCGCCCCGCTCTGCCCAGCGCCGGACCCGGTGCTGCCCGCAGGGTGGAGCGCCGGCCTGTGCACAGACTCGCCCTCCGCTCTGCCCAGCGCGGGACCCGGTGCCACCCGCAGGGGCCTGTGCACAGACTCGCCCTCCGCTCTGCCCAGCGCGGGACCCGGTGCCACCCGCAGGGGCCTGTGCACAGACTCGCCCTCCGCTCTGCCCAGCGCGGGACCCGGTGCCACCCGCAGGGGCCTGCGCACAGACTCGCCCTCCGCCCCGCTCTGCCCAGCGCCGGACCCGGTGCTGCCGGCAGCCGCAGGAGGCACGGCCGCGCAGACTGTGTGCAGGGCGGACCACGGGGCTCCTGTCCAGCCTGCAGCAGCCCCCGCGGCCCGGCACGGAAGGAAACGAGTCCGGCGCCGCCGGCGGCCGCCCCCGCACCTGTGTGCAGGCGGATGTGCACTTTGAGGCTCCCGGCCGTGGAGAAGCTCTTCAGGCAGTGCTGGCACTTGAAGGCCTTGATGCCCGTGTGCGTCTTGATGTGCGCGGTCAGGGTGCTCTTCACCGCGAAGGCCCGGAAGCACTGCGGGCACTTGAAGGGCTTCTCGTGCGTGTGGATGCGGATGTGGCGCACCAGGTCGCTGGGCTTCCGGAACTCCTTGGTGCAGTAGGGACACACGTGCCACCGCACCCCGTTCTCCTCGCGGACCGACCCTGCAGCGTGGGGGACACACAAGGTGAGAGGCCAGGTATTGGGCGCCTAGTGTCCGTCGGGGTAGGGTGGACACAGCGCCCGACACTGTAAGAAGCGACACACTCTTCGCTACAGCAGATGTGTGATCAGTTGCGGGGAAGGTGGGAGTGTCCATGATCACGGTCGAGTGGGAGCTGTGCTTTAATCTCGCGGGAAATCCTGACAGTCCCACGAAGGCAAACCATCGCTGAGACGGACAGGGGCTGCTGGACAGGCGCCGGGACTGGTCAAGCCTGGCGCCAGGCCCGCTCAGGGCCGCCCCACCCCCCACTCGCGCAGAGCGCAGTGGAGACATGCCCGGCAGGGATGTCAGGTGCACAGCTTTGGAAGGTGCGGGGAAAGGGCTCTGGCGGAACCCCTGGCAGACTTGGGGAGCCTGCAAGCGACGGGACCCAGCGGGGATCCACTTATGCCTCCTCCTCCGCGTGAGGAGCATCCTCTGTGCTGCGCACACAGCTGCCGCAGGGAGAGGACAGCGCCCCCCTCCACCCGCACGCCCGCCCGCAGGAAGGGGACAGCGCGGCCGCCACTGCTCGGCGACCAGTTAACACAGCTCAGGAGAAAGGGTGGAAAGTAACATTGAAAGTAACATTGAAAAAACAGTGAAACCACGGAAACAAAGAACACAAACCAGGGGGAGAAAAAAGAACAGGGAACCAGGGAAATGGTTTCAAAATAAGAAAAGGGCATTTAGTTTGTGGTGATCTTGCTGGTGTCAGGGAGCAAAACTTAAGCCTACTTAAAATTGGTTTTGTATTTCCCGCATACTCTGTGTCTGCGCACATAAAAAAAATTAAAATTTTCAAACATTTTATATTGAGCAACTTCAAGACACACACAGGTTTCCTCAGCGATGGTCTTTATAAAGGACTCGAGTTAAAGTTTTAAAGAACAAAGGTGAAGACATCAGGGTAACTCCGCACCCGGAGAGCAGGGGCATGGAGGCTCCCAGACCGAGAGGCAGAGGCGGGCGGAAGGGCCGCTGAGGGCTCAGAGCAGAGGGCCACACTTCACAGTCGGGGTGGCGGCGCCATCACCCGGAGAAAGGAAGGCCAGGCGGGGGCGGAGGAGGCCCTGACAGCCACGTCCACGCCCCCAGGATGTCAGGGGACTTGAATCATGGGAAGGTGGCAGGCCACAGAAGGGAGGTAGTTCAACACATTGTTCTTTTTTTTTTTTTTTTTTTTTTTTTATCCTCACCCGAGGATATTTTTCCATTTTTTGTAGAGATAGAGTGGGAGAGAGAGAGAGGAAGGGAGAGAGAGAGAGAGAAACATCGACGTGAAGGGACACATCGAGTGGCTGCCACCCGCTCGACCAACCAGGGCCGGGGACAAACTGCAACCGAAGTACGTGCCCTTAGCGGGAACCGACCCCAGGTCTCTCCGGACCGCAGGCTGACGCTCTAACCGCTGAGCCAAACTGGCCAGGGCTCACACATTGTTATCTTGTAGTTTTTAATTTTAAATATCAGATACTATGAGGTAGATACTATGAGAACGTTAAACAATCCGTCACCTTCAGAAGAAAAAAGCGTATTTCTTCAGAACAAGCAACGCGCCGTCCGAATGCCTACAGGCGGAAGCAGTACTGAAATTACCGGGCAGAAGCGGCGACTTCTTCTTCAGCAGCTTCTTCTCCCTCTTGTCCAGCTTCTCGGGGCTCTCCTGCTCCTTCTCCGGCTCGGCCTCCGCAGGGTCAGCTGGCTCGCCGCCGTGGGGAAGCTCTGGGTCGGGGCCTTGCGCGGCGGAGGTCTTGGCGTGGCTGGGGTCGCTGGGGGGTGCTGCAGCTGGAATTGAAGACAGCCCACTGTTTTCTAAGGCTTGCTGAGACAGAGAAAACTCAGAGGTTAGGAGATCCGACGGCCCGCACCTGCTGCCCGCCAGCCTCGCCTCGCGCACGCAGCGCCGCCACCCAGAACCAGAAACATCTGCGTGCAAGCCGCCGTCTGTCAGCCGCGGGGCCGCCGCCCGGAGGCCGACCAGGCTCCTCTGAGAACTGACACCTCACCTCCACCCAAACACGCGTGGCTGGCACTACCCTTCTACGTTAAAGGGAACCTGGGAGTTGATGTGACTGGTGTGACCGCAGGCGGCTGTGGCCGTCTCTGAACAGACGTGGAAATCACTGTCTAAGCTGCACTGGTTTCACCCTGAGGACACTGCTGTCCTGCACCTGCCAGCCTGTCCCCACAAAGGCAGGGAGAGGTTCGTTCTGACACTAAGTAGTAACTAGAGGGGAGGAGCGAGGCCGCCTGCTTGGAGATGAAGGCTGAACGTGACGCTGGTGGTCAGACCAGGACAGGGCTCCCTTCCCCAGCTCCCCCCTCACATAGACCAGGACAGGGCTCCCTCTCTACCCCACCCTCCATGTATGGGACAGGCACACAGACACAAGCACAGTGCTGACTCCAAACAGTTACAGCACAGCCTCAAGAAACAATGAAACATTTCTTCTGTCAATAGGGACAGACACAAGGAAGTTCTGAAAAGCCTTCTTTTCAAGTACATTCACTTACAGAGAAAAAATTAGGGCTTTAAACTTTTAAAAAGTATATAGATTAATAAATCATTTAGTTCTGCACTGTCCACAAGTAATTAAATAAGCCTCTTATTTCACTGTAACTACTCAAATGGGACGTGTTTTCAGTGAAGACCCCTTTCCTCTGACCAGCCCCACGTCTCCCGCGCCCAGACCCGCGCGGCAGTGTGCTCACCTGCAGGATGTCCTGGCTGATGCCCACGGTGATGCTGAGCGGCTGGCCGGGCGGGGGGGCCGGGGCCTGCACGGGCTCCGAGAGCCCCAGCAGCTGCTGGATGACGTCGGTCACGGCCTGTGAGCCCGGCTGGCTCGCGGCTGGGGCCTGGGCCTCCGCCTGCTGCAGAGGCAGAGTCTGAAACAGCGTGGCCTGCAACACAGCGACATTCTCATTCAAACACAAACAACCACATTAGTTTGTACTTCGTTTTTTTAGAATGAGGAAAAATACAAGCATACCTTCCCTGTACGCTTTAAAATCTAACCATATTCCAAACAGATTTTAAATATAATCCCTCACTAATGTTTATGTTTGGCACAATACTGGCTCTTAAAAGAACATACTCGGTGAAGTTTCAACTACAACGCGGAAGGTTTGCAGTGTTAGGAGGTACCAGCAATTCAAGGTGGGACCTGAGCAAACCAGACTCCGGTGCCCAGCAGAATGAAGCACAGAAAGAGCTACGAAATAAGGGAATAAGAGACCACTTGGGCAAAACAATCAGCTCTCCTGGAAACGGGCGCAGGAGAACGGAACGCTCTGTAAAGCCACAGTGAGAACATCCACGAGGCTGCTGGGTGTCCGCAGAGACCTGGGCTGGAAACGCCACGCCGGAGCCAGCGCGGCGCAGGCGAGAACCGCCCCGCGTGCTCTGACGGTGGAAGCGGGGCCTCCCACGCCAGTCCAGCCCACACACAGCACAGAGTGGACTCTGCTGCCGGCGACACCCAGCATCCGGTCCCTGGTGTGCAAAGGCCCCGTGCCCAGGAAGGTGTTAGTGGCGGGGACAGTATGGACGTACCTGCCCTTCCTGCTCACTTTCTCTGTGACCTAGAACTGCTCTGGAAGTTGCTTTCTATAGTCTGTTAACAAAGAAAGTGAAGACTGGGAGACACACACTGGACTGACAATTAACCCTTCATCTTCCTTCACAGCCAGACAGCAGGGAGGTACAAACCTTCAGGCAAAAGGGGGGGGGCGCTATAAAAATAAATAAATAAACTACTGGGGAAAGCTTGGTGCCTTCTGTGGCACTTAGGTCCCCAAATTAACACAAAGTCCTCTCTGTTCTGCCTCCGGCAAGCCCAGGTTGGAGAGCTGGGTCCCTGGCCCGTCAGAGGTGAAGTGACCCTGGGGCTGAGCCAGCTCCATCCTGCACGGAAAGGTCACACACGGGATCGCTCTGCCTCGTTCCCGAACACCAAGAGCGCAGGAGCCCAAGAACTACCTCTGAAACAGCCAGGGCCTGGCAGAGGGCTCCAGGCGGGCAGCTCAGAAGGAAGGGAACTTTCAGAAGGGAAAAGCTAATTAGGTTCCCAAGAAAAGTGCAACAAGCGGAGAAGCATGTCTTGAAAAAGAAGCCACCCGACTGGGAGAGCGCCAGAGGCTCGCACTGTGCTCGCTGACGCCCCAGCGAGAGCCTGAAGGCGGAGTGCAGGACACCTGCAGGAGACGGCAGGAGGCCCGTGGGAAAGGGAGTTCAAAACACTGCTTATAAGGACACTCAATGAACTTAGTGAGAATTTCAAGGAACTCCGTGAGGGCCTCAAGAGCATAATAAAAGACCAGTCAGAAGTGAAGGAGGCACTAACTGAAATAAAGAATAACTTACAGGGAATCGATAGAGTAGGTGAAGCCAAGATGCAAACCATTGATTTGTAATATAAGGAAGCAAAAAACACTCAATCAGAACAGCAAAAAAGAAAAAAAAATCCAAAAACATAAGGACAGCATAAGGAGCCTCTGGGACAACATCAAGCGTATCAACATTTGCATCTTGGGGGTGCCAGAAGGAGACAAGACAAAGCAAGAAACGGAAAACCTATTTGAAAAAATAATGACAGAAAACTTCCCTAATTTGGTGAAGGAAACAGACATACAAGTCCAGGAAGCACAGAGAGTCCCAAACAAGATGAACCCTAAGAGGCCCACACCAAGACACATCATCATCAAAATGCCAAAGGTTAAAGACACAGAGAGAATCTTAAAAGCAGCAAGAGAAAAGCAGTTCATAACCTACAAAGGAGCTGTCAGCCGATTTCTCAAAATGCAACTTTGCAGGCCAGAAGGGTGTGGCAAGAAATATTCAAGGTGATGAAAAGCAAGGACCTACAACCAAGATTACTCTATCCTGCAAAGCTATCATTTAGAATCGATGGACATATAGTTTCCCAGATAAGAAAAAGCTAAAGGAGCTCATCACCATCAAACCAGAATTATATGAAATGTTGAAGGGTCTTCTTGAAAAAGAAAAAATAATAAAAGATGAACAATAAAATGGCAATTAATACATATCCATCAACAATTGAATCTACAAACAAAATGAGCAAGCAGAACAGAAACAGACTCATAGATACAGAGAACATTTTACTGGTTGCCAGGTGGGAGGGGAATTAGGGGGAATGGGTGAAAACGATGAAGGAATTAAGAAGTACAAACTGGTTGTTAGACTGAAAAAGCTCAAAGGGAAGGGGGGAGGGGGTGGGAAGAGAGAAACCAAAGAACTTGTACGCACATGTGCACAACCAATGGACACAGACGATAGTGTGGGGAAGGCAGGAGGGGCGGGAGTGAGGAGGAGGGGTCAACAGGGAAAAATAGGAAGGACATCTGTAATACATTCAACAATAAAGATAAGTTTCAAAAGAAAAAGAAAAGGAATATAAATTTTTTAAATTATCTGGATTATCATTCCAGGTTAGTCACTATACATACTTCATGTGCATTTTACCAAAGGAAATGGTGCAAACTCGTAATATTTGGTTGATTTACACACTAAAAATTTCATTAAAAAATACCCAGTCCAAAACGGAATTTTAAGACCTGATTTCACACCCTGACTGCTCCCAGTTTTAGGACTATTCACACGCCCTCCCTGACGAACAGGGGAAGGAAGGGAGACAGACAGCAGCGATGAGTCTGCAGCTCAGGAGCAAACACCAGGAGGCTGTGTTCCCGGGGCAGGCGCGGCTGTGGACGCCGCCCAGGCCGCCAGCCAGGCTCTCGGAACACACACCCGCAAGCTCCCGCTTCTGGCCCAGGTCTGCTGCACCACCCCCACGCGGTGCCACACAGTGCCACACAGTGCCACGCGGTGCCACAGCGGGGCTTAGATTCTGCCATTTACTGAAAGGTGGAAGTGATAGATGGAGGCTGAGCTACAGAATCCTACCAAAGAGAATAAAAGTAGCGCTTGAAATCGTATCATTTTAAATATACGTACTGAGAAATAATACAATTTTGTTTCCCAACATCCAAAGTCTGAGGAAAATTACCACTGTCATCTTCAACAGGGAGAAATATATCTTAAAAGGATACTTGATTTCTAAATTATAATGATAAAAATATTCACTGATAATCCCCAGAAACATTGCGGGAATTACAATTTCATAAACTGATGATTCCGCCTGTGTTACTGTTACTGGTTCCGGTGACAGGACCGTCTAACACCCCCTAAGTTTCACCAGATGCTTTTCTCCCGCTAACCAGAGCAGCAGAACCTCACGGCACGTAGAAAAGCGTGCACAGCAGTGCGTGGACGAAGCCACGTTCTCAGCGACACCGACCTGAAGGGCACGAGCACAATGACAGGCTGCGGGGAGAGCACGCCCGTCACCGGCTCGCCGGACTCACCGTTAACACGTGGGCGGCCTCCGCGGAGCTGGCGGCGCTCTGGGGCCCCCCCACGTGCATCTTGCTGATGTGTGTGTTCAAGCTCCCGAGGCTCTTGAACACACAGCTGCATTCTGTGCAGTTATAGGTAGGGCCATTCTTGACCTGAAAGAGTGGAAGACAAAAAATGGTTTTCTACACTTAATTACCAGATGAAAACGTTTGAATTAGGACACATCATAAGTAACCATTCCATTCAGAATGACAGAACCAGTGTAACCCTTAACGTTACTTTTTCCTGTAAATTAGCTCTAGAATCAGTGTCCAGCTCTTTGACCAATGCTGCAGTATGAGATGACTAACGTATCGGTCTCTTCTACATCGGAACTGGTTTGGGAGTGGAAACACGTGTTTTCAGTTATTATAACTTAATAAAAAGAAGGTGTCTGACGTATGTCCTCAGTGTCCTAGAGGGTGGAGTACACGGCCCAGAGTGAAGGCTACACAGAGACAGACGTAACTGAGCACTCGCCGGAAGCACACGGGCGAGGAAGGACAGTTACACGGCGGGTGAACCTGTCATCGCCAGTCCCAGCTCCGGCTCTCGTGTGGCGCGGTGCCAGCCCGCAGTGCAGCAGAGGGCAGTGGGCGGGGCAGGCCCAGGCGCGGAGAAGGCACCTGCTGGCTCGCCGTCACCGCGCCTCAGTCATCACGTACGGGCTGCCTGGGCTCACCTGCAGACGTCCCGTCTACCCCGACTCCTTGTGCAGAGCTAGCGTCAACGCTAGATCTGTCACGGGACTGAGCGATGCTCAGTCACTACTCTCCAGAGGTGTTTCTGGAGCATCTCAGTCTGCCCCACACAGGCCCCCAGATGTCGCAGGGCTGTGCCGAGAGCCCCCTCCGCAGCCCAGGGCGGCTCACCTCTGAGTGCACCCTCTGCACGTGGGACTGCAGGTTCCCCTTCTGAGAAAAGGCAGCAGGACAAAAGGCACAGGCGTGGGGCTTCTCTCCTGTGTGCTTGATCATGTGCGTCTGTAGCGCCCCCTTCTGGTTAAAGGCCTTTCCGCACTCACTGCACTTGAAGGGCCTTTCGCCTAGAGGGGAAAGGGACACAGAATTCCACGGTGAGCCTCTGACGGATTCCCACCCACGCTCGTCACCCACACTCAGGACCCCGAGCCATCCGTCCAGCCAGAACGCCCCCCGTGCCTGTAGACTCACACATCAGCCGCCTACCCCCAATCTCACAACGAGCACCCAGACCACGCAGCACGCCGGAAAGCCAGGCCGGCCCGCGGCCGTTGGCGCTGAGGCCACCAGGGGAGCCCGCACCTGTGTGGATCCGGACGTGCCGAGTGAGCTGGCTGGGCTTCTGGAAGGTCTTCCCACAGTGCGGGCACGAGTACGTGAATCCACTCCTGTCCACGTTCCGGTTGTAGGACCGTGCGCTTGCCGCCCTGCGGTGAAGGGCTCATGAGGCTGTCTCCTCTCGCCAGCGGGCAGTGAGAGCCCCGGGAGGGTAGGGGCTGGTCACCAGGACACGCTTCAGCGAAACGCGGTCCCACCTGAGGTGTGTGACCCTGCCCACACATGCGTGCACACAGACATGTAGTAGCCTTGCGTACCCAACGTCATAAACATTCACCTTGTCCACACGTACAGAGCGTGTTGGCGCAGAACGCCTCTCGCAGACAAGCTTCGCCTGTGAAGTCAGACACCCGCGCCTCTGCCACCTCCTTCCTCCGTGCCTTCGTGTCAACACCGCCCCCGCTGGCGACGCCCCAAATCCCACCTCCAACCACTGCGACACCTGCACTGACCTGTCCCTCGCCCGACCTCCTGGGGGCAGCTCACCCGCAGTGGCAAGCACAGCTCTCAGCTGGCCCGCCCGCTCCCCGGCCAGTCTGAGCCGCAGGACTCGGGCCCCTGCTGCCCTCCCCGACCCCGACTCCCAGGGCAGCTCCGAGGGGGCCGGCCTCCCTGACCCTCCGAGGGCCCTCGGTCCGTCTCTAGCACAGAGGGTGGGTCTCCGCTCCTCTGACTCGGTGGTCCGCCTGCTTCGCCGACACAGCAGCCGTGCCCGAGTCAGGCAGGCCCTTCTGTGGTAAGACCCCCGCAGGCTCCACCGCCCGGGATAGGCTCTCACTCCCTGGGTGGTCTCAGGCCCCACAGCCCGGCCCTGCCTGTCCTGGTGGGCTCTCATCGCTCAGACCAGTGCGGTTTTACTTCCCCCTCAACACCACACTGAGATTGTTGCACCGTCGGACCCTCCACTTGGTCCCTGTCGTCTTCCAGTAAATGACAGCCCTGTGAGGATGAGGCTGTGCGTTTGCTCGTCCCTCAATCCCAGTAGGCCCAGGGCCAGTGTGTGCTAGTGCATGATGAGCCCCTAAATATCATCCACCACCTCTCCAAAACCTGAGACACATCAGACGTGCCTGTGTTAACTTTATCAAAGTGAAACCAGGTGTGTGGAGTGCACGCATCCCACCGGGAGACAACTCCCGGAAACAGGGAGAGTGTGGGGGCTGCACGGCGTCGACAGCGACGCAGTGAAGGCCTCTCTGCAGGTGTTCTGGGGGCAGCCAGCAGCCTTTGGAGTTGCACTGGAAGGCGGGGTCGGGGCTGTCGCTGTGGCGGTTCGAGGCGCAGGGGAGACCACGTGCTGGCGCCCAGCCCGGGACAGCAAGCTGGGCGAGCGTGAGCTGCACGTGACCTGGGCTCACGGGAGCACAGAGGGCAGGACACAGCAGTAACACGGAGTTCCATGTCAGTAACATGTGTGGTCAGGAAGAGGCTCACTGTGAAATTCTGAAAGACTTATTGTTTTATCGGGAATAAATGTACGTATATATGGGCATGGTTGATAACATTCTGAGACTAAAACCAAACTGTCTGTGTTTAAACCCCTGATGCTGTAAAACCTTGGGAAAGGTACTTGTTCTCGCTTTTTAATTTATTTCTTCTCATCTGCAATCAGGGACCTACAAGTACACTGGCTGATCGGGCGGACTTCTTTGTACATTTCTATTTGCGCCAAGTACCGTATCAGGCTCATTAGCTTGTGAACAGTGATGGAGGATGAAATAAACCAGTGCTTTAAAAGGGCTCCTCTGGCCCTGGCCGGTTTGGCTCAGCGGTTGGAGCGTCGGCCTGCGGTACAGAGAGACCCAGGTTTGGTTCCCGCTAAGGGCACGTACCTCGGTTGCAGTTTGTCCCCAGCCCTGGTTGGTCGTGCGGGTGGCAGCCACTCGATGTGTCCCTTCACATCGATGTTTCTCTCTCTCTCTTCCTCTCTCTCCCTTCCGCTCTATCTGAACAAAAAATGGGCAAAAAATGGAAAAATGTCCTCGGGTGAGGATTAAAAAATAAATAAATAAATAAATAAATAAATAATAAAAATAAGAGGGCTCCTCTGACCCCCGCGGATCCACTTCACACACCGTCACCTGCCCGTAACAACATCACAGCACCGTGTACTACAGTTCTAACATTAAAACACAAGTTAAACTTTCTACCCACATAGCTGGCACCTACTTTTAATTTCTAAGCTCATCTTCCCTGCTGCAGACATGAGCTGCACCTTATAAAGAGGTCCTGATGCCACCCCAGATCACCAACACTTTGACCCATCGAGCAGCATCTGCCGTCTGACGCGCAGCCCCGACCCCCCGGGCCGTGGAGGCCGCACCTGATCTTGTAGTGGTGCTTCATGTGCTCCTTCAGCTGCGCGGCCGTCTCCAGCTCCCTCCTGCAGGCCTTGCAGGTGTGGGCGCGGCCGCCGGCCAGCTCCTGGCGGTGCTCCTCCATGTGCAGGGCCAGCTGGCTCTGCAGAGTGAACTCGTCCCCACACTCGGAGCAGATGAGGTTCTGCGGAGGACACGGTGTGTGAGCACAGCCGGCACCCAGAGCCACTGCTGCTCCCGTCAGCGCAGACGACACTTCCCTCGGACACCCCGTTCCCGCCTCGCAAGCAGTGCATCGTCCTGTCTAAATATGAAGGCACAACCACTCCTCGGTTGGTAGAAAAAGACAGAAATGTGGGGAAGAGGATGAGAACTACACAATGTTTGAGCAAAGTGCGGTGTTCAGGTCAGCTACAGGCGCCTGGCATTTTGTCCGTCTGTGCCGCGAAAGCTTCCGAGAAGCAGAAGGCTTCACGCGAAAGGCTCAGGAGGGGACTCGGCTGTCAGCCGATAAACCGCGCCACGAGAAAATGGCAGCTGGTCCATGTGCAATGGAAACATCTACCACTCTTTCGTCTCGTTTATGGCAGTCGATCACAGAGAAGTCCGGCACCGTCCAGGCATGGCCGCCGAGCACCTGAGACGGGTCTGAGCAGGCCTGCGGAGTGAGTGTGAAATGCACACACCACCCCAAAGACCTACTGCGAAAAGAAAGAACATAAAGAGCTCAGCTTTGGCCAGTTTGGCTCAGTGGTCAGAACATCGGCCGGTGGACCAAGGAGTCATGGGTTTGATTCCGGTCAAGGGCACGGACCTTGGTTGCAGTTCATCCCCAGCCCTGGTGGGGGCTTTGTGGGAGGCAGCCAGTCGACGTGTCTCTCTCACGCTGATGTTTCTCTCGGGCTCTCTCTGCAGATAAAAAAAAAACACCCTTGGGCGAGAATTAAAAAAAGAAAAGAGCTCAAACACTTTCAATGTTTGAGTTCTAACATGTTGGGTATATTTTCATAAATATAGTAAAATAAAATTTACCTCCTCTGCCTTTTATACTTTTGTGACATGCTGCTAGGAGCCGTGAATTCCTCGCACCGCAATGGGACGCACGGCCCCGCGGCTCAGAGCTGGGTGAGGAGCCTCACGGCCTGGCGGCTGACCCCCGACCCCTGCAAGTCTGCAGACAGGGCGTGGGCGCCTGCACCCACCCAGCACCTGAGCGACAGCCAGGTGTGCACGGAGCAGCCCTCAGGGATGGCTGACCGGAGGGCTGCTCGTGGGAATCCCACAGCACAGCTGCTGCTTGGACAAGTCTCGAAACGAGCTGTCCACGGTGAACAAGGGCTGAGGGGCCTGCAGCGGATAAGCTCTTCCCACAGACCTCACGCAGCACAAAGCCCTCCTTCCCCCCGCGTGTCCTGACTGCTGCACTGACTCAGAGATGTACGTGCCCGTTCACCAGCTCCGCTCAGCATCCTTGCAGAAAAGGACGCGCACGAAGGAGAAGCGTGGCGAGCAAGCCGGTAACGACTGCAACTACGTACCTCTTCATTAGTATTGTTACATAAGAACGTAAGGAAATACCAGATTTCTACATTGTCAGTATCTTGTTGAAAATAAAGAGAGTTCTTTCTCGGAAACAATCAAAAAGAAAAAATACCTTAGAATTTGCTGCCGCTTTTTTTAAAAAGTGACCTCTGAGCTCCTGAATTTTTATGGCGAACTGTTCCTCTCCACAGGCTGCCCCAGACCCCGCCGGGCTGTGAGCGGAGGCTCTGCACCTCCCGCTTCTTCTCCAGCTCAGACCCATCCGCTCTCTACTACTTTACCTAACGACCAGATCAGTGCATTTCAGGAGATGCCAGCATGACGACTCAGAGATCTGTCAGGATCTGAGTGAAACCCTGCTTTGTGAACAGTTTGCTCATACAGTGAAAGCCACGTTAAGTATATGTGCCCTGGGCCACAACCAAAACAGGCCACGTAAGAGAAAGCCCCTCCCGTGCTTTGTGTCCAGCAGGCCACGGAGCCGGGATCACATGCCCCAAGGACAGCTTGGGCCGGGGCAGCAAGAGGCTCCACGCCATCGCCTTCCCGGAGCCAGAGGGGCCAGGCCCCAGGCTGGACGCAGGACCTCGTTCTCCCCGGAAACAAACTGTTTGGGCGATTTCAGGGATCGCCACGCGGCGAGCCGACATCAAGGAGAAAATGCACAAAACTCGAGTCAGATTCCATGAACATGTAACTGAAAGACCCCCCAAAGGATATAAATAAAAACCTTAAAACATTTAAGAATAAGTTTAGATAATGCACTGAATCCACATGAACAGACATTACTGAGTGATGTTTTAATGAGATAAAGATTCAATTTTGCAAACATGTTCAATTCTCCCCTAGAACAACCTAAAAATTTAATGCAGCCAAAATAAAAACACCAACTCATTTCTAAGTAGGCAAAACTCTAAAGCTCACGTCAAGGACAAGCCAGAAAGGAGAGTAAGCGGCACACAGACATGTGCTCATCACTCCAGGCAGAAACCCGCCAGCAAACCAGAAGATCCGGGTGCCCTCCTGGGGTGAGGCCCAGCAGAGGGACGGGGACAGAGGGCTCTTGGCTTGTGTCCCTCTGTCTTCTAAGAAGGGAGGTTGAAATCAAATGCTCATCACCTGATCCCCAGCCCTCAGCCCCGGGCTGTCTTTGCGGTCACGCTGACCGAACCCGAAAGGAGGGCCGTCCATCGAGGGCTGTGGCTCAGAAGCGGGGCCGGGGCCCTGCAGCAGAAAGCAAGCTGACCTCAACGACCCTGCGCTCACCCCCCCCCCCCCGGCAGCAGTGCAGTGCGCGGAGTGGTGCACAGCCGTGGAGCCACCGGGCTCCCGCAGCACCACTGCAGCCGGCACGCACTGTGCTGCCACGTGGCAGCCACGGCACGGGCCACACGTGGACCTGGGAGAGCTAGCAGCCTGGGAGGGTGGCAGGACCGGGTCAGCGTGAACCCACAGGCTCTGGCACGGCGCGGGCGCTGTGCCTGCCCCGGAAGACACGTGGGTCAGACAGACAGCTGAGGCTGCAGGCAGCACTGCTAAGCACCTCACAGAGCCAGAGCCCATAAGTGAATAGACTGGAAATTTTACTATTTGACCATTTAAAATTTTTTGCCAAGGGGGAAAAAGTTAGAAACTGAGAAAGGGCAAAAAACTAATTTCCTAGGTATGAAAACAGCTGGTACAAAGCTACAAAAATAGACCGGTAATCCCCACCACCTCCCCAAACTAAAAAAATTGAAAGAAAAAACGCTAATGGCTAACAAACATGAAAAGATGCTAACTTCACTCATAACCAAAAAAATCCAAACGACACAATGCACCATCTTAAACGAGCAGATTGGGAAAACAGGCATGTAGCACGGATGCCGGAGTGGCGTGAAGAAGGGCATCTCGCACACGGCCGGCCGGGTGCAGACGGGCAAGACAGCTTCAGAGAACCTCTGACGGTATCTGTCCCAACTCCGGACTCACACATGTGTGCAGGGAGAGCTGTGTCACGAGGTTCCGGCAGCACACACACCCCCCCCTCCCCTCCCCCCCCCGCCGCAGCGCCGACACAGCGCCCTCTGGATGCAAGGCCGCCTGCCCGGAGAACTGCTGCGCGACCCACGTGCCGACACCCAGGAAGCAACCTCCATCCCACCACAGTGGCCTGCGCCCACGTCACACCGCGTGGCTGCGAATCTATGGCGAGCAGGTGTGCGTGACCACGCGTGCGACAGCTGAACGGAGAGAAGAGGCACAGAGCAGCAGAGGAGCCTGGGCACACCCACACCGCCCGCGAGAACTGGAGTCGCGGGTGATGGAGACGCCACTGTTCACACATTACACATGCCTCACTTATGCAGTAACTTTAAGAGATAAAAAATTATTTATTTTATGTAAAAATTAAAACCATCTTAAAAATAAACAAACCTAGACCTGGCCGGTTTGGCTCAGCGGTCAGAGCATCAGCCTGTGGTCCAGAGAGACCCGGGTTTGGTTCCCGCTAAGGGCACGTACTTAGATTTCAGTTTGTCCCCAGCTGTTGGTCGTGCGGGTGGCAGCCACTCGATGTGTCCCTTTCACGTCGATGTTTCTCTCTCCCTCTCTTCCTCTCTCTCCCTCCCGCTCTATCAGAACAAAAAATGGAAAAAGTCCTCGGGTGAGGATAAAAATATAAATAAAATAAACAAACCTACACAGAAAGTAGAAACTCAATTTTTAGGATGCACGTTTTATACATGTCATTTGAAGACTGTATGTGTTCTCCGCCTCAGGAGAAAAGTTCACCCAGTGATCGCCGGCAGTCGGCCTGGGCGGCAGAACGGCAGGTGGCTTTGCAGCGCCTCCGCTTTCCGCGTTTCGCGTTTTCTGCAGTGATAATGGGGGTGGGGTGATATTCGTGAAGCCACAGCCACTTATACTTGGAACGAGGCCCCACGCCCGCAACAGCAATATGGCCTGTCACCCTCAAGCTCAGGACGCTCCCTCGCTATGTCACCTGCTTCCCATCGTCATGAACACCTCTCTCCTCCCAAATGTCCACAGGTCAGGGGATCCAGGAGCACGCACAGGCAGAAAATTTACTTTTGGACACTCCAGTTTTCTACTAAAGTTAATTTCTGTTAAAAAAAAAAAAAGCAGGGCTTGGCTGGGTTTTCCAGTGGTTAGAGCATCGATCGGCCTGTGGACCAATGAGTTGAGGGTGTGATTCTGATCAAGGGCACGTACCTCAGTTGCAGTTCGTCCCTGACCCTGGTCAGGTTGTGCGGGAGGCAACCATTTGATGTGTCTCTCTCACATCAATGTCTCTCTCTCTCTCTCTCTCTCTCTTTCTTTCTCTCTCTCTCTCCCTCCCCGCTCCCTCCCTCCCTCCCACTCTATCTGATGATAAATGTAAAAATATCCTCAGGTGAGGATACAAAAAGAAGCAGGTAGGCGTCTCTTCCAGCCAACGCAGACATATTTTGATCCTCCAAATATACTACACATCAAGTGTCTGAACAGCAAGTGACCTGGCAGAAAGTAAAACGTCCCATCCGCGAACTGGAATCAGCAGAGGCCAACGTGAGAGCTCGGGCCCCAGCACCTTGCGAGGCTCTGCAGGGGTGTGTCCGGCCCAGGGACGGGGCCAGGACTCGCGAGGGGCGGGGCAGCTACCTCCTCCTTCTCATGCAGCATGACGTGCGCTTTGAGGCTGGCCACGCGGGAGAACTTCTTGTTGCACACAGGGCAGGTCGGGTCCTCCCCATTGTGGGTGCATCTGTGCAGCGTCAGGTTGAACTCCACGTTGAACGTCTGGGGGCACTGGTCACAGCGATGTGGCTGTGGGGAGAAAAGTCGAGCAGCCGCTGGAGCACAACCTCCCACAGCAAGTGCCGTCCAAACGCTGACAAGCACCGCGATCCACTCTTCCCAAGACACTCCGACGCCTCTGCGGAGCAGTCGATGACCGACCGACACGTCCTGCAGAAGCGTCCCGCAGGAAGGCTGCGCCCAGTGCCGGGCGGGCTCTCTGACAGCAGCTGGGAGGGACTTCGCACTGGGCCGATTTTCCCTCCCTTTGCAGCCAACCCCACAGCTATGGACAGAATCAAGCAGATAGTAAAACAAGTAAAATAAGCAATCGTGAAAACGTTACTAGGTTTCCACAGAGCTGCTTATCTCAGCCTGAGAGCTTCCGCAGAGGAAGGTGCTCCGCCGCTCACGGCAGAGGGAGCGTCACCTCTGGCATCTGTGTCTGCGGCGGCAAGGCCTTAGCGAGGACGCGGGCGTCCTCCGGGTTTTCTCGTGGGAAGAGGCCCGTGGGCACGAGTGTCCACACCAGGCTCTCAGCACAGCAGCCCCCTCACCTGACCGTGGAGCGGAGCCGCCCTGGGCCCGGGCCCTGGGAAAGAGCTCGGGCTGCCCTGGCCTCAAAGGGTGGGCTGGCTCAGTTCTCCTACCTGGAGGGAGCCGCAACCACCTTTCTCACTGCAGCCTTAACGGCCACCTCTCGTCTGTCAGGCAACCATCCCACTGAGACACTGACACCCTCATATCTTCCCACAGGGGCCCTACGAGGGTCCACACCTGTGTGAGAGCCCTGCTCCCCGCTGAAGTGCGACCTAACACATCTGAGCACCGTTTTAAACTGAAGACACTCATGGTAACCGCCCTGCCGGGGACGCAGCACCACGGCCCAGTTCTGTGTCCGTGGAGGGAACAGAAAGTGCTGCAGAGGGTATGTTTGGCGACTGTCTTCCCACCAGCCAGCAACTGCAACAGACTCTCCAGGCCAGCTCTCTCCCTCTCCATCTCCTAACAACCAGGAACACAGCCACAGCTACACAAGCACGCGCTACTCCCAGAACGTACAGTGCCCACACTTTAGGGCTCTGAATGATAGGAAACAATTTCAGTGCACAGGAGGGTGCTCACAACCCCCCGTTTCAGCGCCCACATGTCTGCCCTGAAACACACACCTTGTCATTGCGCTCGTGGTCCCTCATGTGGCGGTGGAACTGGGACTCTTTTGGAAATGACAGCAGACAGATTTCACATTTATGGAAACTTGGAACTTGATAGGCATAATTAGTGTTCTCCGCATTCAATGTTAAAACTCCATCTATAAAATTGTGTAAGTACAGACAATAAATACCAGTTATTCTTATCACATAAATAAAATTACTTGGTTATCGTTTAGAAACCAAATCATGTCAGAACTTTGAGAGATTTTACATAAAATTCATGACATCTTGAGTTTTTCAATGGACATGCTTCTAGGTTACAAGAAGTGTGAGGTGACCGGGACGCAGCACAGCAGCACCTGACCTCTGCCTAAGACTTCCGGGGCGAGCTCCGCTCCTGAGGCTGGACCCCCAGTGCAAACATGGGGAGCAGAGTGCTCCCAACTGCCTGCTGCTTCTGTGGTCTCTGAGTCATACCGATCCCGGAGGCACCGCACCTCTCGGTCATTCTAAACCATTCCAGTGGAAATGCAAACGCTGCTTCACGAACTCGTCCGCCTCTGACAGCCGCGGAGAAGCGAGCCTGAGGCAACAAGAGCGGAAACTGCGCTCAGACAGTTGCGGTCTCGGGAGGTGAAGGGCCGCCACGCTTTGGACCATCCTCGGGTTCACAGCGTGTTTCTCTAAACCCACTTAGGTTTACAAGCGGCTGTTAACTTCACACTGTTTTCAAATATGAACAACTATGGAATAATCATCGACAGTTGTCAACAGTGTCATAGAATAAAGAGGTCCTAAATCTCTCCAATTCTTGAAAATAAGTAAAATATACTCCGAGTCTCATCATTTGAGCTTAAGTATATAATACATATTAACCAAAGATAGACTGGAAATAGGTCACATATGACTGTAACAAACTTGACCCAGAAAGACCAGAATTTAGAAATTCAGAAGCAGGGTAGGGTTAAGCTGAAGACGAGAATGCTCAGGTTGCTCGAATTCCCCTACACCTGTGCTGACAGGTACCCACACCTGAGCCAGCAGCCCCCCGCCTGAGGAGCCTCCGCCTCCGCCTCCGCCTCCGCCCTCGCCCTGCAGCGGGAGCTGCAGCCCACAGACAGCAGCCTGAGGACGGTGGGCAGGAGGCGCAGCAGGGGCTGGAGAGCTGGCAACAGTTGCAAAAGTTCTCCTGGCTGATTCGGAAACACTGATGGAATTCAAGGCTGCAACTTCATTCATAAATGAGACGGGTCTCCTAAGGAGAAGATATACCTAACTTTTATTTTATTTGCTCTTAACTATATCTATATTCTATTCAAATTCCTGCACTAAACTAATAATGAAATGTTTAGACTCCCAAGGCCCAAATTAAAGGCTGACTGGAATCACATACACTGATATGCTCTTACCACTTTGGGAAACTTTCACTACGGAGGGAAACAGTCGGAGGGGGCAGAACTGATCTAGGTCGTCAGACCTGAGGACAACGGTTAGTCTCATCAGAGTACTGACTGGATGGAGCACAATGGGGACTTCTGGGGTGCTGTTAACGTCCCATTTCCCAATATAAAAAATTGCATATGTATTTGCGTGGACTGTTATTTTAACTATATCATCTGATGCTGTTGTGGGAGAAAGTTCTGGCTGTGGGAATTCACAAACACTGGTACTGGGGTCAGGATAAATGAGAGGGAATACACCTGTCACAGGGTTAAGACAAATACTCAGGCAGATCCTCGTTAAAGGGTTGGGTTGCTCATACTCTTACAGCAACCGCTGCCCAGGAACGCGATCTCTGTGCCCGGTGTGCTCTGAGAATTTGTGTTTGTGTGTCTGTCCACACGCCAGCACCTCACTGTTTCGATGTTAAACTTTAGAGTGAGCGGCACGTATACTTTATACTGAGACACTTTAAAACATACACATGGCCACTGAGACGGTAAGCTGCCCTGGTGCTGCCTCACATCCCCGTACGGCTGTCTCAGTCAACACCACCTCTGCACGCTCTCGGGAAACACGTGGCGAGATCACCCTCAACACGCGGGGCAGAGAACACTTAGTGAGTGGGGTGAGAAGACCTGGGGTGCACAGGTCTGGGGAGAGCCGTGAAATACAGACGCACAACTGCTGTTACGGTCTCCATTCATCCTCTGAAGATGACTCAGGAGAACATCCACCTTCCACCCATAACTGACACAAGGTCCTCACAGGTCACAGAGATCAGGCTCCAGTAAACAGGAAGGCCCTCTCCTAGGAAGATGCTCTGATCGCCCCAGGCCTCCTCGGTGCCAGGAGCAGGAAGGCGATGGGACTTCCTGGCTTACAGCTGGGCTGGAAGCACCGTCTACTTCTCAGAGAGGGAGCTGGCGAGCTGTCTCTGTAAACGGTCACGTGGCAAATGTTTCAGACTCTGGGTCAGAGGGCCTCTGCATAACTACTCCAGTTGGCTACTGCAGCCCGAAAGCTACCAGTGATGAGTGTGACCTGTTCCAATGAACTCTGTTGCCCAGACAGGCTGGGCTATAGGTGGTTGGCCCTAATCTAAAGAAAAAGACGGGAATGCAAAAGAAAGTTGTATGTTATAGCTCTTTAGTTTCAGGTAAAACTTTTATTGAAATATAACATAGAGAGAAGGGCAGATCAACAAGAAAGTATTCACTATATATTTATATCTACATATATATGTATATATATATGTGTACATATATATAAAGTTTTTTGTATTATCAAAGGAAGACTGGCACTATGCACTTTGACCCAGAAATAAATAAAAGTTGGCAGCAGCACCTACTTTTAACAGCCCCCAACTGGAAACAACTAATGTATCTATAGTCCAAAGGATAAACTAAATGACAGTTGTGGTCACAGAGTGGAATACTATACAACCGTGAAAATGAACACATCTCTGCTATATAACAATAGGGATAATCTCACAAAAACAAATATTGAGTAAAGGAAGCCAGGAACAAAAGTGTACATAGTACACGTTCGACTGAGTTCAAAAGCAGGCCAAGCCAGTCTACGGTTCCAGCATGAGCCGGAGAAGACAAGGGGGAGGCACCAGTACTGCCTGGGAGGTCACAGGAGCCTTTAAGGTCCTGCTGATGTTCTAGGTGCTGGTTACCTATGAAAGCCCATGAAGCTCTCCACTTAAAATCTGCACACTTTTCTGTGTAGATGTTCTATCCAATCAAAGTAATTACTGGAACACATTTCCGGCTTCCCTTGGGATGCCCCAAGCTATGGCAATCGGGAAGTGGAGCAGAGGAGGAGCCTGCCCGTGGACAAAGCAACTGCTAACTTACCACTAAAAGAATAATAAAGTCTTCACATGTGAAGTGCTACGTAATCACACCTTCCCCAGAATCCCAAATGCTCCAAGCTCCTGCCTAGAACGCTCAGTCACAGAGTGAGGGTGCGCCTTCGTGAAGAGATCTGTTCATCCCCGGGTGCCCGACGTGGTTACAAAGTTGGGGTTTTAAGCAGAATCCATCTCCCCTGACCTGTTCCCACCAACAGTGCCTGGTTTTGCTGCTGAAGGCCCCTCATCTGCACCTGCCTCGTAAAGTCCACCTGCTCTGCGGTCCCCACTCCTCCCAGGCAAGGAAGGGTCGAGTGTCCGAATGCAACCAAGGAAACCTGCCGTGGCCTGACCAGGCAAGCTGAGCGAGAAAGGGCTTGTTTACCCGTCTGGCTCGAGGTCTGCCCACCCCAGCTCTCTAGACATGAAACAGGACAAACATCCCTCCATCGGAAAGCAACTGAGCGGGCAGCCCGCTGAAGGTGCCAGGCCGGGAGCAGACTCATGCCGTTCCACTGGAAAACCAAAGGGAAGCCACACAGACCTGCATGTGGTTTCCGTCAAGGTCACGCTGCTGCTATGTAAACTAAAATAACTAAGATACAGAAAAAAGGGCCTCCCTCACTCACCTCTACATGGCCAGGGTCATGGCAGGCACAGAGCCGGCGCTGAACAAATGTTCCCGGTCACCCTAGAAAGGAGGCTTACTTCTGTGCCCGAGTGCCAAGCGCATTGGTACTTCGAAGCGTTTTTGAGCAGGCCCATGCCTAAATGTTCAGCGAGGTTCTGCCCCACACCCTTTCTCTGGGCAGCCCAGGCTTCCCCGACGCCACAGGGTGCTCTCACCATGGGACACTGTCCCGAAGAGCCAAAACAGTAAGTTTTGACTTTCACAAAAAACGTCGATGCTGCTTCTGCACTCGCCCGCTGTGCCTGAGGCTGGAGTGAAACCGTGTCCACAGTGCAGCCTCCCAGCTCGGTGCCACCACCACCTTGATCCATGCAAGGCCTCGTGCTGTCGTATTAGTTCACTTAGGAACCAAGTAACACAGCCAAACTGCCTTAGCATGGCTGTGGAAGGGCCTTGCGGAGCCCCAAAAGTGTGGGGGACTCCCAAGGGCCCCCAAAGCCTGCTTTGGGAACCACTGTGGCAGACGAGGAATGACTGAGAAGTGGGAATGCTCAGAGAGCTGGGACACTGAGCCCCACACAGCAGGGGAGGAGGTGAGCCCTGGGCATGGGGACAGTAAGACCAGACACACAAACACTGGCCTCAGACTACAGGGGGCTCCATGCTGGAGCAGGACCGAGAAAGGAGAGCTGGGCCTGGACAAGAGCAGTTGGAACCCCGGAGGCCTGGGTCTCTAGTCAAGGGAGAGAGGAATGCACTCCAGAGTTTTAACCAGGCAGTGGACCACCTGATTGCTATTTTACAGGGACCCTTGAGGCTGACAGGCCACAGATGACAGGACGGATGAGCAGCGACCACTCCGAAGGCTCCTGCAGAAGTGCACCTGACACACGATGGCCACGCGGGAAACCGAGGGCCAGGGGAAAATACACCTTTGCAGAGAAGCTACAAGACCTAGTTGTCAAACACGAGGTGATCGACAAGGACAAGTGCGAGGACTGGACGTGAGAGAAGTGGCCCTTCAGTGTCTTGCACCTTCTTCCAAGTGACCCAGACAGTGTGCCTGATGCGGTTTCTGGCGGGAAGCATATTAACGACATACAGAACAAGGCCACCACGACGAGGGACCTTCACAACTTCCTACCAGCCACCACCAGCCACTAATGAGAACTTGGGGGGCGCTGGGCGATGACCCAGGGACAGCTGCGCACGTGGACGGCGGCCCAGCGAGGCCCAGGCTGCAGGCCGCACGAGGGGTCAGTCCAGACTGGAGTGCGTGCCCTCAGTCCGATCACAGCACGTCCCTAACTTCCCTCTCCACTGCACCCCCTTCACAGAGGGCCCCAGGAAGGGCGTCCTCAAGATGCCTGCCGACCGACGGTGGCTGCGCACCTGCACCTGTACTCGCTGAATCTGAGCGTCCCTCCCGCAGGGCAGGGGCACTGAGTCACTGGCTGGGTCCTGCGCGGGATGCATCCCTCTCAGGGCTGCACTCTGTCCCGGAAGCAAGAGCCTGGTGCGGCCCTGAGGGCCAGGGACACGGAGGACCGCGGCTGTCACCCCGGCTCCCCGCCAGCCAGCCAGCCAGCCAGCCAGCCAGCCAGCCAGCCAGCCAGCCAGCCAGCCAGCGGCTCTGCTGCGCCCGGCACCTGCGTCCACAGGCCTCCCGAGCCGGGCGGCGGGCCTGGCGGGGCGCGATACCCGCGGGCGGGCGGAGGACGCAGGACGCGCGAGGAGGTGGAGGAGGGAGGAGGTGGTGGAGGGTGGAAGGAGGGTGCAGGGTGGAGGGAGGAGCGCGGAGGGAGGAGCGTGGAGAGCGGAGGGAGATGGAGGGTGGAGGAAGATGGAAGATGGAGGGTGGAGGGTGGAGGGTGGAAGGAGGGTGGAGGGTGGAAGGAGGGTGGAGGGTGGAAGGAGGGAGGAGGGTGGAGGGTGGAAGGGGGGCGGCCGCAGGAGAGTGGAGGGAGGAGGGGGAGGGGGAGGGGGAGGAGGGCGGCGCGCACCTCGCCCCCGGCCCGCCGCCGCCGGCCCAGGAAAGTAGGCCCAGCCGGCGGAGGGCCGCGCCGTATCATTCCGCCCGCGCCTGCGGCCGGCAGTCGGGCGGCAGCGGCGGCGGCAGCGGGAGGCGGTCGGCGCGGCGCGGTCCTCGGCCCTCCTGGCCCCGGCCCCGGCCCCGGCCCGCCCGACCCCTGGCCGCCCCGCCCGGCCCGGCCGCTCCCGGCGCCCTCCGCGCCGCATCCGGGGACTACATTCGCGCGGAGCGGCACAGCGGCGGCGGGCCGGGCCGCTTACCGGTGTCGCCGCGCGCCTTGCTCTCCTTGGGCTTCGGGGGGCGGCCCCGCGGCATCGTCGGCGGCGGCGGCGGCCCACCCCTCGGCCGCACACACACTCACACACATACGCCCGGCGGAGCGCGCACGCGCGGGGACAGGCCGCGGGGACGCGGCGCGCGCCCGGCCGAGCGCGGAGGCGGGCGGAGCGGCCCGGAGTTCCGCCGAGCCCCGGCCGAGCGCCCGCGGGCCTCACGTGGGGAAGGCGCCCGAGGGGGCGCACGGCAGCGCTGGGACCGCGCCCACCGCGGCGGGTTCCATGGCCCGGCGGGCCGCGTTGGGGGCGGCGGGCGCGCGGTGGGGGCGGGGAGGGCGCCGTGCGCATGCGCGCTCCGCGGTCTGGCCTGGTGCGCACGGAGGGCGAGCGGCGTCACCTGGGCCCGGACCCCGAGGGCCGCCTCACCTGGAGGAGCCTCCCGGCGGGTGCCGGCCACTCCCCCCGCAGGCCGGCCGTCGGGCACCGAGGAGGACAGGAGCCCTCTAACGGGGTGCTGAGACGGCTCCCAGGGGCGCTCGGCGCACCGCGGACAACCCACCGCCTCCCTTTGGGCGCCGGGGCCGCGCCGGGTGCGCAGGGCCTCGGGCAGCGCCCTGCGCCCAGACCGGGTCTCACGAGGGAGACGCACCCGGGCCCCTGTGCGGTCGTCCACGGCACCCACGAACTCCACGGCTTCAAGTGTGGTCTCTCTCGCGTACTGTCCCTTCTGATTCCCACATCCTCGCGGCGACCGGACGGCAAGTGTCCGTAGGCTAAGCTGCGCTGTCGAGGAGGAACGGTCAACGGCTCGAGCAAGCCCAGGAAAGGAGTCCGACACCCTTGGTGCCCTTGGAAGCACGAACTCGAGGCAATAAGTAACCATCACCACCTACATCAAAGTATTATGAGGGAATACAAAGGTAAAGTGTTCCAAAACTTGGAGCCGTGGGGCAAGAAAGGCACAAAACTAGTCAAAATATAATGGAGGTTTAAAAATACCCACGGAGAACCTTGAGACCAGCAAGGACCGTTCAAAACCTAGGAAAGACCCCCTTGGACTCCACCTCACTTCATGCAGCGTCCTACCCGGTGGGGAAAGGACGCGCCGCCCATCCGCCTGCAGACCCGAGAGTCCTGGTTCTACCCCGGGCACGCACCTCTGCCGGATCCCTGGCCCTGGTTGGGTCGTGCTGGAGGCAACCAATTAGTGTCTCTCTCACATCATCTTCTCTCTCCCTCCATCCCACCCACTCTGTCTGAAAATCTATGGGAATATCCTCCTGTGAGGATTTTAAAAAGCAGCAAGGACCTTCCAGGTGGAGGCAACAGGTAAAGAGGGAAAAACTAAAATTAACTAAGAATCTTTCATGTTAGGTGCTGTATATATCTCTCTTATGTTTTCATGTATTCATCCAATTCCTTTAAAAATTACGCAGATAATCATATTTTAAAAGAAACAAACCCGGAGAACTTGGCTAACCAGCACCAGCCAGCCAGTGAATGGCCAGTGGGGTTTAATAACATCTGCTGTTTTTAAATAATTTCACATAAAGTACTTCTAATCCTACAAGAATTTTGTACCATTTTACAGATAATTCTGAGAGGTTCAAAAGAATTCAGTAATTTGGTTCAGGCTGCATAGACTATGCAAATCCAAGCCTCAAACCAAATCTTAACTCAATCCTATACTTAGTTGCAGCAAATATACATAAGTTTAGACACAATGTGACTGTATTTCCATATACATATTAGGGCTGAATTAGAATATAAGGCTAAGAAAACAGGTTGGAGGCATATAAGAATCCTTGGCCATTTACCAGTCAGTTTGGATAATGATGATATGTGTATAATTGTACATTCTGTTTCATTCTGAAAAGGATTTAAAGCAGTTTATATTAGAGCTGTATAAATGCATGTGGATAAAGGAAAAAACAGTACAGAATCAAAGGAAGTAAGTACCTAAAGTCCTATGTAGTTATAAAAGGTGAATAGAAAACAACTCCAGATTTCTCAGCGCAAGTAAAGAGGTAGATACGATCAGTTACCAGATTCTCACCCATAAAAGACATCTGTGTCCCTATCACTATATCCCTATTGTTTTGTTTTGTCTACTATATATACACATGGCAAATATAAAGGCATAATCTGCAGACAGACAATTTTACTTCCCTTCTGATATAGATGCTTTTATTTCCTTTTCTTGCTTAATTGCTCTGGCTAGGACTTCTAGTGCATGTTGACTAGGAGTGGAGAAAGTGGGGACCCTTGTTCCTGATGTTGGCAGCACAGCTTTGAACATTTCACCATTCAGTGTGAGTTAGCTGTGGGTTTGTCATAAGTGGCCTTGATTGTGTTGAGACATTTTTCCACACCCAATTGCTTGAGAGTTTTTATTTTGAAACGATATTAAATTTTATCAAATGCTTTTCCTGCATCTATCAAAATGAAAGCATGATTCCTATCTTGCATTCTGTTAATGTGGCATATCACATTTACTGATTTGCATTGCTTTCCAGGAGTAAACTGCACTTGGTCATAGTGTATGAGCCTTTCAGTGCGCTGTTGAATTCATTCTGTTACTATTTTTTGGAGCGTAAAATAATATATTTTTTTGTCTCCCTGCCGCCAGGGATATTGACCTATAGTTTCTTTTAGTGTCCTTATCTGGTTTTGGTATCAGGGTAATTCTGGTCTCCCAAAATGAGTTTGCAAGTGTTCCCCTCTCTTCAGTATTTTTGGAAGACTTTGAAAAAAGTGTTAATTCTTCTTTAAATGTTTGATAGAATTCTCTGGTGAAACCATCTGGTCCTGGGCTTTTCTTTGGTGGGATTTTTTAACCATCTGGTCCTGGGCTTTTCTTTGGTGGGATTTTTTATTATTGTTTCAATCTCTTTACTCGTTAATGGTCCATTCAAATTTTCTGTTTCTTCATGATTCAGTCTTGGTACAGTGTATGTATGTTGGTTTCCCCGACTTACCCTCCTAGATTTCTCTGAGTTCCATAGAGGGCTGCTCTTGGCTTTTTGTTTTAAAATTGATAATGATACTGAACATAAAAAGAGGACATAAAACATATGCTCCCCAGAACCACACAGGGCACAGCTAGAGAACAGGGCCGACACCCTGGAAGCCATACCTGTGCCTCCCTGAGGACATCCTCCCCCAAAAGTGTCTGCTCTCCTGGTGCTGCATCATCATTCCCTTGACTTTACAGTTGTACAGTTTATTTAGACGTCTTTAAATAAATGCAGTATTGGTCAATTGGTCCAATTTTTGAAAATTTTCCTAAAAGTTCCTCCAAATTCTTGTGTCTTGCATCTTCACTCAGCACTGTGCTTGTGAGATTCCCTGATGCTGATGCATATAGCTGTAGCTCACTTGTTTTCACTGTCGTCTGTGGGACTATGCTGTGCCTGATTGATTCAGTCCTTTGTTGATGGACTTTTGGAGTTGTTTCTTGCTTGTTTTTAGGAGCACGCTATTTGTATCCTATTACTTGTCTGCAGCCCAGAGCTTTTTCCATGGGGTCTTCACCCAAACCAGCTCCATTCCATTGTCTGTGTTTCTACCCAGATCCCACACCTCTAGCCCTCTGGAGTCTGACTGTCTCTTCTCCTTATTCCCTGCACCAAGCATTTAAGCAGTCACCAGTTTCTACTGCAGCTCCACTTCCTACTCTAGAAGGTGGTAGCAGATAGAATGCGCTCACACCTCACAAGGGCAGTCACTGGGCCCAGCAGCTCAGAGATGCTCTTTGCACACTGTACTACCTCGTGTCAGGTCATGGAAGGCACTGCCCGGCACCTGCCTCCTGTGGCCGCAGACTCATCAACAGCTGATTTCCTGGGAAAAGGCAATAAACCTTGAAAGGGACAGTTAAGTATGTCCCTTCTGACACAGTTGCATGGACTCGTCCCTACTGCAGCCATCTACCCCATTCAGTGAGGTGAGATGACACTCGTGCTGCACTCAATAAGCCTGTTCAGTTTCCATCCCCAGAAGGTGCTGCAGGGCGGTGGGCAGTATGAATCTGAGCGGCATGAACTTCCATCCCCAAAGTGTGACCTGTGTGTCATTCCACTTAAACAAATGAAAACCCAAGACAGGTGCTGGTGTTCTGAGGGAATGTTAGTTACCCTGCAGCCTTTCCCAGGCCCGAGGTCTCCAGCCTAGGCTAATAGCTGCAGTTCATCCTTCCAGGAAATTAGAGAAGCTGTTTTCATTTGGGGGGGGGGGGGACAACAGTCCGATCATTTTTCTCTTGAGCAGGTAAAACCCAGAAATGGACTTGGAGGCAGGAAGCCCTCACTTGTTCTATTCCTCCTTAAAACAAAGAGGTTCTTATGTAAATTGAGCCTATCTGCCACCCAGTTAACCTCAAGTAACCCCTTTGTACCTGCCCAGGTGCACCTCAAACTACATACACCCTTCTAGACACAGGGATGACAGTTGCCTGTGAAGCTTAAAAACCTCCAACACATTTTCTCCCAGAGATTTCACAGAAAATACAGGTGCCAGGCCGTGTGACCCCAGGAAAGTCCCTTTACCTTTCTAGTTCTCCAACCCTACCATGAGAAGGTTGGGCTGGCAGCTCCATGAGGTCCCCAGGCAGTCTCCATATTCTAGGCTTTCCGCTTCAGCCCTGAAACCAGGCACTTGGTGCTTCGCTTCCTGGAAGAGTACTGTGGGTGAGAGTTGGGGCCAGAGGCCCTTGAGCTCTCCCAGGGCTGGCCTTCCTGCCCTCTTTGCTGTAATAAAAATAAAAGTTCACTGATGATTCACTAGCAAGCCCACCCCAGCGTCATTTGTACAGGTCATTGACGCCAGCTCTCTGAGGTGTGGTGCACAGAGGCACCCCATTTAAGAGAGGTCAGGGTACCCCCTCCCCACCCTGTGCAGAGCAGCTGCACCCGTGCACCAGCAGTCATCACCACTGTTCTCTGCCGGTGCCAAGGCCCCAAAAGGCTGAGAAGGCTGCTCAGGGTTGCTCCAGAGTTGAGTGCACCCAAGCTGCTATGACCTGGCCCGCTGGCTCCCTCT